CCTTTAAGAAGTTCATTTTTTGCCTCAAATAACAATGTTGGATAGAAAAAGTGGTCTTGGTGGATCGAAATAATATATGAACCTTCAAAATTAGAATTCCATCCTGTTCACAGTTTCACAAGGTTTCCTGGCTGTCCAATTGCCCTCTTTATTTTAAGCCAATATTTCTACATTCTACAACAGATACATTGATGACACTTTTTTACTTTTTAAGCATCCTTCTCACGTTAAACTCTTTTTTGATTACCTAAATTCGCAATATAGGTAGGGTAAACGCGGTATATTCCGACATCAAAAAAAATACAATAAGAAAATTTTCAATAAAAGACATGCTCTGGTCTTCAATCAAACCTGCATAAATGAAGAACTGCTGTCGAAGCACCCTAATTTTATTATTTGTACATGTTTTTGAGAATTCTAATTATTCATGTTCACAGTTGTAAATACTTTCATCTGGTGTGTTAGTTTTTGCCTGAATTTCTAGTTTCACTGGATCATTTCCAGAGTGTTCTTCTAATTTTAATCTTATTTTAACCTTCATGGCATGCCTTGAATTAAAGTATGGGCAAGTTTATATGTTGTACCAAAAAAAGTTTATCATTGGTAAATATCTCTTTCTTGACAAGAGCATCCTGTGCCTTGGTTGAGGCAACTGTTAGGGTATTATGTTATTAATTGAATTAAGAGTCCTCAAAAAAACTATGTGCTATGAACAGTGCATCAAAAGGTAAACTCAAGTTACATATATGAGGTGTTCCAAAATTTGTATCTTGGACAAGATCATTCTGCTATCAGATTCCTTGATTTAAATATTTTCTTGAAAATATAAATTACAAGTATAGGTATGTTTATATGTGCTGGAATCCTGTTCAAAATTTTTATTTATTACCTCAGGGAATTGTGTAACTTCTGCATTTATCTTGTTCACCACAACATAATTCTTCTTTCCAGGAATCATGACAAAACTTTCTAGGCCTCAAGGCCCTAAAGGACTCTCACTGAACAAACCAGCTCCTGGTGCTAAGGGTAAAATCAGGAAGCTTAAGAATAAGAACAGATCATGTTTGCTGCCAAGACCTGCCAAAATGGGCCGCAAGGGCTGGCTGGGGTTTGCCGAGCGATGTCGGCGCATGACAGCAAATCCCATCAAGATCCTGCAGCAGCAAACTGGGGCCACTGACAGGACACATCTCAGCCATGCTATTGCCAAGTGGAAGCCACTTAATTTATCTTCACAGTTTGTTGTAAGTGCTTACTTGTAGATGCAATACTAGCATTTAGAAACTATAATTGATGGATATTTGTAATTATGTCTAGTAGTACTTTTCAGGAAATTTTATTTCCAAAATTTTGTTGCCCACGATGGATGACTGTTTCTTATTTGAATTATGTACTAGCCCAGTTGGGCTTACAATTTTATTTAACAAAAATCAGTTCTTATATAGTTATTAACCATTCTCCCTGTTGTTGCATCAGTGGTTATGTTTACTTTATTGAGACTTCACAGTCTTAGTTTTGATAGTTTTTATTTGTTGAAACCTTGCTGACACAATTTTCTTCTTTTATCTTTTTAGAGGCAAGGCAGGTGAGGATTGAATTACTTTTTATCATCGAGTAACCAGGGTCAAAGAAATGCTGTATTAAGATATGCCTCTTGCCTAATTCCTGATTACAAGATGCTGTTTTATACAATTTGATTTTTTCAAATAGTTTTTTAAGTGCTTGGAGTTATAGAAATTTACTGGATTGAAATTTTAGTAGATTTATGTTGTACAGAAGATTGACTTTGCAATTCAAAATCCAAATTTTATTGTTTGTCCATAACAAAACATCACTTACGTGTCAAACTTTTTACCACATACCAACTCATTTTTTTACCACGTTTTTCTTAGCTCGCTTTCGTGTCCGTCTGTCTGTGATGATCAAATCTTGCAATCGACATTTCACCAACTTTCCCGCTAGCTAGCACTCTGAAACTTTTAGGGAAGCTCATCTCCCGATAACAATACAATAATCAATAATTTGTTGCACGTTTTCAGGCGTATTTATTACCGAACCTTTCTTTATTACAGCCACGCACCCAGATAAATACGGGAACAACAATGTATCCCCTCGAGTAGTTTGAATCATGATTTCTGGAGGGTTTATATACTCATTTAACTGTAAGTCCTGGGTTCTCAATTACTAAATTTATTTTCATGCAATGAGGTTATATATGTAAATATTTAAATACATAAATATATGCATAAATATAATATTAAACTAATGTGTAAATGAGATTAAAGATACATTGGTAATATTTGACAGTGATCTACATCAACAAATCGATCTTACATTGATATGTTGATTTATTCTTGTTGTTTATCCTAAGAGTTTCTTTCATATTAAGACTGAAATATTAAGGTTTAATTGTGTTATTCATCCAAATTAAGTTGATGAGTAGGTACATGTTTTGGGTGTTTGTGTGCTCTGCTTTTAAGCTCTTGATAAATAAAAACAGATTTATACTCCCACCTTGCCTTAGAGAGTACGTAATGACACTAATGACAGTGAAGAGTGAAAATCACAAATTATTTCTCAACAGGTTTATCTTGCCTTCACTAACTTCTGTGCTTGAACTTTTTCTACTGATTTGAATGCTTTTTATTCCAAAGTAGAGTATTGTTGGCTCATCTGGCTGCTGTGATCCAGTATCAGTACCATCTTATGGAATGCCAGAAGGCATTGACAAATGTGTAATATGTTGCTTTTCTATGCATCTCTTATATGAATGGTAATTAGTATGACCTGAGGGTGGTTCTTCTGTAGCAGGATCCGAGGATATAGAGGAACAGCGTAAACGATTATATACCTAATATACTTGTAGGATTATAGTTTGGCTTACAGTTAAGGATAATCTAGGTTTATGAGTTGGAGCTTTAACAATGATGTCTTTGGCGTCCAGTTGTATTAAAGAAATGAATGAGTCTAGAGTGTATCCACGGGGCCTTCTCCACTCAGACATTGAGCTAGAGTTACTGTCTTGTTTGACATGGACAGGAGCAATGGGGTATACTGACAGCGGTCTTCACCCAAGACTGAAGTTAATTGATTGAGACAGAGCTTCTATAGCTTTGCTATCCGACGCCACCAAGGGCGTGACTTAAAAACAGGGAAGGCAAACACAAGGAAAGTTTTATGAACATATCAAAGTGAAGGAGATTATCTTTCAACAAGGAAGATATTAATGAGGAAATATCCAGGGACAAATGGTATCAATATTGTCACCTGACAAATGTCAATAAGCATTCATATATTCTGCACAAATATATTTGGGTAGAGCCCTCCTTTTGAAAGTTTGATAGGATTTATGCCATTTTATTCTAGAACTTTTTTAGAGATTAATTTCATTAGCTGTCTAACGATAGTTAGGTACAATCATTGGGTCAACAAGTATTGAACTTTCTCTACATGAGAGGTTTGTGCAATATGGCAGGGCATTTTGCTCACCACAGCGTTTTCAGGATTAAAAAAAAAAACAGCAGAGTAAACAAGGAGCTTCCAGGATTTCTGCTAGAAAGAGAATAAATTTAAGTAGTAAATGAAGCAGAGTAAGGTTCTTGTACAGTCCAGGGTATGGTACTAGTTCTAGGTTTTTTAGTTTCAAAGTGTGTTAAGTAGTTAGTTGCATTTTTAGTTAGTAAGTAAGTAGTAGTAAGTAGTTTAGTAAGTAAGTAAGTAGTAAGTAGTTAGTTGTATTTTTGTCCTTCCTTAGGCTACTATGCAGAAGCAATATATGAATGGTTGTGGAACTCGCACTTCCCGTGCTTGCACACTTATTCGTGCTTGCACACGTGTATTCGTATTTGAAATTTCTTTCCTTCAGTGGTGGTTGGTGACTAAACTTGTTGCAGTAGGGGCCTTGCCCTTAGATCAGCTATTGAAGCCAATGGTTGTTGGTTGTTCATTTGGCACTGTTTATTATATTATATTGGTCATATTGGAGCTGTTGGTTGTTCATTTGTATTAGTGTGAGGATTCATTCATCATTCATACTGAGGAATATTGATTCTGATAGTAAACTTCATTGACTTGTGGAACTTCAGGCTTTTTTTCATCCGTTATTAGGTCTCCTCTTTTTGGGTAATTTTTGAAAGGTTGTTCATATGGTCAAGGAGTAAATTAGAATATCTGTTGTTGATAAAATCAAGTCCAATGAATTGATGCTTTAATAGTGCTATCTTCATATCTTTGGGGTACTATACATACTGGACTTGTTAAGTTATTGCTGGCGTCAATGTTAACATTCATGAATTTTTTCTGCTGTAATTTCTTCAGTGGATTTCAGTATGGAGTTGGTTTTGAATAGGTTATTAAGTTGTAGGAGGAGCGCAACAAAATTAGCGACTATGAAGGAGTCATAGACGGATTGGCATTTGATAGATGGTTTCAAATGGGGATTGGCATGTAGGATCTTGTTTGGCAATGCGGCTGTGTATATGTTGGCAAGAGTGACTTTTGGTGGGGGGACTCCCCATACTGACCCAATCTGTTTGGTGGAGGTACAGGGTTCAATCTGTGTGGGTGAAAGGGGACCTCAGTCTTGAGTATTGTTTGTTGGGTTAGTGTATGCTAGACCGCAGACTAGGTCAATGGGAATTGCAGGAATGTTTGTGAACCGCAATTTTATGTCCCATGCAGCAAAGTTACTACCATGTGGATTAGTTGCTCTGATAATTTGTAAAAAGTTGCGTAATAAATGTTTAGTTATTAAATCTAAATTTAGAATCATGTTTATTGTTTTAGATTTGGCATAAATTTTGATTGGAAAATCGGATTTTAAATTAGTTTGTTTTCACTTGTGTTCATCAATTGTTTGTGCTTGTTGAATTTGGATCCTGATATTATTAACCTGACTTCATCCAGTGTTATTTACCCAAAAATAAAATCCTATTCCTCAGCATTAATTCATGTCTTGGTGTTATTTCTACAATACACCGTCAGAGTATAATATTTTTTGTGGCCGTTAGTCTTTGATGATCAAAGATTCATGTCTGTCTGAGTTGTCCTGTTATATGTATGACAAAACACATTTATATTGATAATTGTGAATTTATATCTCGTAATTTAAGCTTCATGTTGATTTTAGCAAATTTATTGGCATTCAAATAATGTGAACTACTTAGTATCAATGGAGTATCACAACTAGGAGCCTGAGTTGATTGTTTACTTACTGTGCAGGCGCTGCAGCGCGAGTTGGGACCAGACGTGCAGAGTCTGGCACAGTTGTTGTACCACCGCAAGCGTGTTGCTGCCATACTGCTGCGTCATCTTGCTAGACATAATGACACTGCTGCAGGAGAAGAAGAACTTACTGCAGAACAGTTGCATGTACAAGCTTTGGCTAAACTCCAAACATCAGCCTCCACAGAAGCTGGTGATCTCACCCAGACTCATGACAATGACCTGTCAAGTGACAGTACTGCTCTTGAGACACATGATGATGAGAATTTTGTGTCTTCAAACCTGATCCCTAAAGAGGCCAGTTACTTTACTCGTAGGTCCCGTGAACAGGATTCCTCAGCTGAAGAGCAACAAAATTCAGTGCTTGAGCCTCTGTTGCATTTAGTGGTGGCTTTTGCAACAGACATACCCCAGCATTTTTACGAGCATCACTTCTATGAGTTTTTACCCCACATTGTCAGCTACTGTGACTCTCAGGAGCCAGCACAAATCGAGCAAGTATTTTCATGCTTGCTGAATCTCCTAGTTACCCTCAAGTCTGATCTCATACGTGAACCATTCAAGCTTTACTCTCAATGTTTTGCCGACCTGCTGTCCAGCTCACGGCCTTGGTACATCAACGACATTGCCGTGCAAACCTTCGCCTTCATTGTGCGCAAGGTGGTGGATAAGGAGCTGTTCTTCTATCAAGTCTTCAAGCGACTGGCCAAGGATCCAAGCCAGGCCAAGGGGCTTGGCAAGCTGCTCACGGCCGTCATGAAGTCCAATAGCCTGAACCGCGTACACAGCGTCACTGCAGAAGTGGTGCGCATTATGCTTAACCTGCTGGCACTTTCCCGTGTTCCACAGGCTCTTACTTTGGAGGCTTTCCTTGTTGGTCTTAAGGGCTTGTTATGTTTCATTGCTCTCAAGAACTCTCTTAAGAATTGGCAGGAATTCTGGGCTGAAGATAACGAGCGTGTGTGGACCCCGATTTGGCGACACCTTGATGCGCTAGTGCAAGAACTGCCACCTATGGAAGCCCTTGCTTCATGTAAGGGCGACGCTGAAGACGAGACAGACTTGCCATCCAAAGTATTGGATGCAAGACAGGAAGAGGAGACAAATAGCGATGATGGCGGAGAGATGAGTGACATGAAAGAGTTACGTATAAGACTTGGCATAAAAAGCTCCTCAGCCTCGAGGACTTCAACGTGTACGGTCAGTGTTGACTGTCAGCTGACATCTGTTCTATCTGTTGTAAAGTTTTTAGTCGAATTTAAGCGGGGAAGTTTGCTGCCTGACGTCTGTCTAGTGTTCAACAAGATTGAGAGTCTATTGGCACGCCACTCATCGCCAGAAGTTGGCCATCTTATTGCAGATATTCTCGTGTGCCTTTTAAAGTCACCAAAGCATCAGGCTTGTCCTGGAAATTATGAAGCAGCCGTGCCTCTTCAGGTCCGCCGCAACCGTATTATTTCCCTCATGTTTCAGTCTAATTTCCCCGCCCCTGTTTTGTTCTCTTTCGCGCGTGGCTGTTCATCGCTGGAACATTTCCAACACGAAGTGCTTCCCAAACTCCTACGATATCTTGACAGCATTGTGTTTAGCTCTCAGGATGATGAAACTAGGCTGTCTGTGTTGTCCCTTGTGATGGATCTGTTGCTCCATCACCAACCTCCAGTCACCTGCGGTGAACAACTTTCTCAGTGGCAGAAATATCCTCTGTTATTCAGTAAAAGGTGTCCCGCGAATACCGACAAAATGAGCCCCAGCTCCGTGCCGGAGCTGCTAGAGTCTCTGGCGTGCGGAGGTCTGATGGACGACCTCAGCAACATTGAAGCCCTTCTCACATCCGTCTTGTGCGTGCCTCACGTAGAGCCTTTGGACTGCCAGGAGATGGCCTCTTATCTTGCAGGCATACTCAGCGATGCACTTAATAGTCTTCAAGTGTCACCTAAAACTGTCATGGCGACCGAAGAACTCACTCCCTTAGATCGCCCCGTCACCAAGAAACGCTCGCTTGAAAATGGAGTTGAGAATCCAAATTCCGGCTCCTCTCTTCCAGTTTTTGACTTCAACATCGATGTTTCCTTGGACCGCTCAACACACATGCTACTTTTCCTCGTAGATGTCACTGTCGAGGCGTTGGCTCACACGCTGTCTACGAGAGACTTCCTCGCTACCCTCACGGGCATGAATGTCATTAATATCCTACGAGGACACCCACAGCACCGAGAGAACGAGCACCTCCTTAGAGCCATCGACATATACCTCACCATTGCTGCTCAAGCACCCGATAATCTAGATGATTTTGTAACAAACCCAATCTCGGAAGAAACTTTCTGTGCTGTTTACAAGATACTGGCGCCGTCTTTAGCCTCACCCAGCGCCCAGACCCGCATGCTCGTCGCTCACATCCTTTCGTTGTTCCCTCTGCAGCTCCCTCCGCCTCCCAATGGCACCGCCAAACTCGAAAACCTCTTCCAAATCATGTACAAAATCGAATCCATGCAAGTCACGGCCCTCAACTACAACGAACGATTGCGCCTGCTAGCGCTCTTGGACCACGAGCGCGTTGATGCACGAAGTCCTGTGTCTGGTATATGTGAACTCGCGCCAGTACTCTTCGGCATCGGCCAAATGTACGTCAACCTACGTCCGGTGTGGGGATATGCTGTTGTCTACGTCTCTGCCTTTGCTAAGAAGCTCAGCCAAGATAACTTTTGGCCACTGTGGATATCGAAGCTAAAGCTCGTTTCTCACGCCGCCTTGTCGTCTGCGATGCATTCCACAGAAGGGAGTTTGAGTTCCACATGTAAAACTGCAAGTTTGGTGCGCGTGCACGAGTACTTGACAAGCCACGCGGGATCTGGTAAACTCTCAAGTCGAATAGACCATGCCAACGTGCGTAACCTAATGTGGAAAACCATGCACAGATTCCCGAATATTTGTGAGCTGCGCAACAGAGACATTGTGAGCACCTTCTTCCAGTTCATGGAGGAGGAGATGGAAATGACAGACTTCAGCATGGCTCCCACTGAGAACTTGGAGAAAACGGGGCTCTCTGCTACTGCTAAAACTGAAGATTGTTCTGAAGAACACGATGAAGATGAGGCTGATGATGGAGAAATTAACGACTCTGATGATGATGAAAACCCTGATGATGATGACCGCTTAGATGATAACAATCAGTCTAAAAATTCCGAATTGGACGAATCTACTGTTCTTGACGAAACTCAGAAAGACCCTGAAAATAGCGACGTGAGAACTAAAAAAAACCGTAGAAGCAAGCTTGTTATCAACTCCTTATGTAACTACCTGAACTTGTTTGCTAAATTCTACAACTTGAAGTCTGTTCACATGGCCGACTCGCTCGAGAAGATCTTTATGGACTTGCTGGTGCACCCAAGCATGCGTGTACAGGAGCTATCCTTGTCGTGCGTTTTGGCGCTGAAGAAACGATCGATCTTGCCGTATAAAGATAGTCTCTGCCTCATCCAGTCTAACAAAGCATTCAAAAGAGGCGTGATGGCTTTGCGCGTAGACAGTTCAGGTGACGACACCAACAGCGTGGCCGAAGAACATCGCTCTGAACTCATGCCCCTGTACATCAGACTTCTTTACAGTAAGATGCTCACCAGCGTCGGTAGGAACACAACAGGCAAAAATAAGATCCTCGTCAGGAAGACGACTGTGATGCGTCTGCTGGCGGGCATCAGGGACGAGGAAAGTAAATATCTCCTGCATTTGGCCTTTGAGATTCTGGAACCTCATTTGCAGGGTTCGTGTTCCGAGGTTGTGGATGCCGCATTCCGAGGCCTTGATGCCTCAAAGAGCATTCCATTAAAACGCATGTACGGAGTTCTAAGTTCCTTGGACAGCATGATACATTATCTCGGTAACCTTCTCCCAACCAAGCAGTCTTATTTCCTCAAAGTTATTCTCCTGTTGCTGAGTCACGCTACCGTTCTTAAAGACCACACACCTTCGGTTCATCATTCACACAAGAACCTATTGAAGAAAATCAAAAACAGGGCCATGAATGAGTTGCTCAAGTTCTACGATTCTTTTCAAAATTATAATTGGTCCCAAGATGAGTTGGAGGCAGTGTTCAAGTGTGTTGTGTGGCCGTCTCTCATTCAGCTGCCCACAGAGGGCGTTATAAACGTTCACCCTGTATTGAAGCTCTTCAGTAAGTGGTCAGAGAATGAGTATCTGCACCCACTCTTCATCAAGCATCACCCTGATGATGTTACCTTGTCACCTCTGCCGTACATCTTCTCCCTAGCCACCGAGCCTAAGTGCCGCGTTGGGGTCATCAATTTTATCCTCAACATCGTCCACAACCTCATCGGCCAGAACGAGTCTATGGTCGAGACGAGCGACGAACGCCCCAGGAAATTCAAGAAAGGAAAATTTGGCAAGGAGGAAGTGAAGGCAAGCCCAAAGCCGAGCGACTCGACTTTCGTAGACATGATACGCTGTGACAACCTGCTGACCGTCGCCGAGCCTACGAAGTTAGTGGACGTCAGCGAAACACCGACTTTGGGAACGAAAATCCTCCTTCCCTACATCCGCGCTCTGTGTTCCTGCATGCAGACGGTGCTGCACCAGCTGCTGCGCAAGTCGGGCCGCGATACGAAGCTTTTGCGTATCTTGTGTCTGGTTACACAATTTGTGTGTGATGATGAGGAAGGAGATAAACTTCTCAGCCTCATCATTCCTATGCTGGTCAAGAAGAAGACTGATGACACAGAAGTTATCAATCACTTACTCCTGACTTCGTCGAATCTACTGCCTATCTCTAAGAACGTAGAGAACTTCTCTTTAAAGATGCTTCCGCTATTCCGTAGTCTTGTGAACCAATCCTCGCGAGTTCAGCTCTGCAACGTCTATGAAAAGCTTGGGAAAAAACAAAACCAGTTTAAAGACTTATCTGATGTCATGTCAGGTCTCAACAGCTGGGAAGAGTCATTCATGGACTCCATAGATGTTGGTCGTAGAACTAAGTCGTACAAGCGTCTCGTGTGTTTGCTGCAGTCTACTCAGCAGTTTGATGTCACCTTGTTTCAGTTTGCCGTTCATCAGACATCTTACGACCTGCATCGAATGACGGACATCACTCTACAGGAGAGTGCTGTTGTAGCCGCCACGGAAGTGATGCGGTCGAGTTTGCGTTTCTGCGATAGTAATCGTGCCCAGGTTAATAGTTTGTTGAACTCCATCTTGGTTTCCATCAAGCGAGGTGTGACTGCTTCATCTGACGTGGTGCATTGCTTGCACCTGAGGCTTCTTGGCGAGGCCGTGCATCTGGCCGGCGATCACCTCAAGCCTCTGAAAGACCTGAAGAACATTAACCCCGACATAGATTTCTTCAAAAATGTGTCACACCTACAGATGGCACGCCGAGCTCTAGTGCAGAATAAGCTCATAAGTGGCATGGTATCGGGCAAGTTCCCCCTAAAGGTGGAGACCATCGAGATGTTCTTGTGGCCGTTGTTGTGCCGTTACATCACGAACCACCACTATGCACAGGAGACCGCACTTATGAACGCCACCTACACGAACCTGCTGGAGGTTGTGTTGCGGCTCTCCTGGAAGACGTACTTGTCAGGACTCAAATTCTTCCTGCATCGACTCAAGGACGACTCAGAAGGCAACAGACTCACCCTCAAAGTCGTGGGCATCATTCTTGATGGCTTCCATGAGGACGTTTCTGGCCTCGTGCTGCGCAAGACCAAGCTCCCTCGGGGCTCCAAAAAAGGCAAGAAAGTGCCACAAAAATCTCGCAACCGTCAATCCAAAAGTAGAGGTGCTAGCAAAATGAAAAGTAAAAAAGCTAATCTTAAAGCATCTATCAATGAAACTGGGACAGAGATTCCAATCAAATCCAACGAAGATGAAGAGAGCCTCGTTTCGACAGAAATTAAACCTCCCGTCGCTCCTGAAGACTCCATCAAGACGAACGCGCCTGTAGACGCTGCTAAGAACGCTCATTGCCTCATAGTGTACAACGCTTTAGTGCGGGAGATCATTCCTGGCCTCAAACGAGTGTTTGAGTCTCGCTCTGAGGCTGACGGCTTCCACAAAATGAACAAAACCAAGCGTGCGAGTGACGACGACATCAAGAAAATTCCCTTGGCCCTCCCTCTGGTCAAGGTGCTAAAAAAATTTCCTGAAAGCGTTTTGGAAGCAAATCTGAGCAATGTGTTCTACCAGCTTATGTGCTATTTGCGTTCCCATGTCCCATACATAAGACGAGAGGCTCGGGAAACCATCTTGAAGGTGTTGAAGGAGGTGGGTGGCAAGTTCTTTCCCGGTCTTGTGCTAGATTTGCGCGTCAATCTCAAGATGGGCTTCCAAAGACACGTCCTGATTCACCTGATTAAGTCGATCTTCGTGAGCTGTGCTGATATTCTCAAAAGTAATTACGTTTGCCGCTGCTTAACTGAAATTGTTGAGCTTTGCTGCGAGGAGTTGTTCGCCAACAAGGGAGTTGAAGACCGTGCGGACGACCGCGAGAAAGATTCCGAACCCGTGGAAGAAGCTAAAGGAGATAAGAAGAGTTACGTGATCATGGCTGCGCTTGGGAGATTTGTTCAGGTCCAGCGCGTTGAGGATGTGTTGGGGCCCCTCAAAGAGGTCCTGACAAGCACTCACAGAAAGTCTGTGGTCACGATGGTCGAGAAATGCGTCACAAACTTCATGCTTGGACTCGAGAGCAACGAATCTGTTACGCTGGTGGAGAAGCTTATTCTCGCCTATGGTATCCTCACCGAGAAAGTTGTCGAGTTCAAAAAAGAAGGAAACGCTGAAGAAGCCATAAAAACGGTGTACGATATTCCAGATCGCATGCTATTGGAGCCAGAACCTAAACGGGTCAAGTTGAGTGCCAAGACTTCTACATCGACCAACAGCTACGTCTTGGTCAACTTTGCATTCGGTCTTCTCTTCAAACTGCTGCAGAAAAATGCCTTGTCACGTGATGATCCCGAACACAATGGACTACTGGATCCGTTTGTCGGCCTCCTCATGAATTTCCTACACTCCAGTCACCCTGAAGTGACCATGTCGTGTCTGAAGTGCTTTGCCATTCTCGCTCGCTTTCCTTTACCTTCACTTAAAGAAAAAATTGGACCTCTTGTCGCTCAACTGTTCGTGTTACTCAATAAATACAACTCTACGGAACTCGAGAAAGGCCTCATGTTCAACATGGTTCAACTCACCTTCCGATGCTTTGCCGTCATTCTTAAGCACGTTGACTACTATACTCTAACAGCTGACCACAAGCGAGTCCTGCTTGTCTACATGAAAGACAATCTCATGAACCAGGCGCAGCAGAACACCGTCTTCTCTCTCCTGCAGACCATCATTGAGAAGAAGCTGCAAGCACCGGAGCTCCTTGAGGTCATGGAGGTCATCAAGAAGTTCATCGTGACTCATGGCTCCATTTCAGTGCTGGACCAGTGCCGCAAAAACCAGGCGCAGCAGAACACCGTCTTCTCTCTCCTGCAGACCATCATTGAGAAGAAGCTGCAAGCACCGGAGCTCCTTGAGGTCATGGAGGTCATTAAGAAGTTCATCGTGACTCATGGTTCCATTTCAGTGCTGGACCAGTGCCGCAAATTATACTTTGATTACCTTACCAATTATCCGACTCCTGTGGCGACTTTGACGGAAAATTTTCTTTACTACATTGAGAATCTGAACTACCCGACGGTCTCAGGCCGCGTCTCAGTGTGTTTGATGATTGATAACTTACTGGCTAATGTCACCAATGGGATTTTCACGCAGAAAATCACCCGAAAGTTATGGCTCAAACTCGTCTTGACTTTGATTAGGGAAGAAAATGAAGACTGTCGTAAGCACCAAGAGGTGAGCTTGTCTCAGACTTTTATTAACTCGCAACACAAGCAATTTCTCGTAAAAGAAGCACTCAAGCTCATGACCAGCGACGCGGACGCCACCCGCACCGCCGCTGCCACCAATATTCAGGTGGCTTGTTTGTCGTTGCTCGCGTTTTTGCGAGAAACGGAAGTTGAGCTCCCTAAAAACTTCTTCTCTGATGTCCTCCCTCGAGTCGTGCAGCTGCTCAACCCTGAAAACTTCACGCCCATTCCCCTAGATGACGAAGACTGCACTGTTCTGGCCCAGCAGATGTGTGTGGACAAAGCCCTTTTGGTGCTCCTTCGACTTTTTCAGAGGTTACACGAGTTGTATCAGCATGACAGTAAATGGATCTCGATTACTAGTGAGGCATGGGGACACGTGCGTGAATACATACTTTATAATGAGCTGGACGTTAGACTACAGGCGAATACTCTATTAGGGAAACTCTTTGCTTCGTACCCACTGGAGCAGAAACCTTGCCCGACCATAGCTGCATCCACCACCAAAGTGAGGAGTCTAGTCAAAGATTTGGTTGCCCAATTCCGATGTCCTGTATCAGTGGAAAGCAAATTCCATCAGCTGTGCCTGATGGCCGTACGCAACCTAATTTATCTCATCAGACAGAGCAACAAGGTGCCGATGGTGAGCGCGGACGTGGCGCACGAGAAGCGTCAGCTCTCCAACTCCCTCGCCAAGAGCTTGTCACTCAGTCTCAAGACGGTCAAGGAACACGGCGATATTGCTGCCAGTGCCGTGTGGGTGATGTCCTTGGTTTGCAAGGTGGCCGTGGAGGACCTCAATACTAAGAGGACTGTGCGTCGGGAGGCGGCATTTAATCTCATGGCGGGCGTTGTGCTCCTACTGGAGGAGAAGCTGAATACCTGCATGCCTGTGCTTGAGGTGATCATGACCGAGATAGCCAGAGAGAACAAACAAGAACAAGAAGATAACGAGAACAAAGACGGAGACAAGTCTTTGCCCGTAGTAAAAGAAGTGTCTGAGCTCATTAAGGAGAAACTAGGATGGGAAAAATACGGAGAGTTGCTGCATGCCGCCGAACGCGGCTTGAACCAAAAGCGTTTGTCTCGGAAGGCGAATAAAAAAGAAAGATTCATCAGAAACCCAGAGTTAGTGGAGGCCGAGAGGCAGAGAAAGCAGAGACACCTTAAAGCCTCCCTCAGGAGGCGCAAGTTGGAAGGCGGACCGGCGCTTAAACGCAAGAAAAGAAAAACCAATGAAGCGGCGGTGCAGATTTAATTTCATTTAAACCGTTTATGTTGTCATGTTAGAGTCGTTTAGAGGATGTAGAGGACCTGATGTGTTGCTGCTGGCAGACTTAACATAGTTACTGTTGAAGGCAGACTGAACATTTTTAATTTTGAGATACACAGTTTGTTGTCTGAATGTTTCATTGTGTTGCTGTTTATACGCACACGTGTCTTGTCCAGGTTTTCCTGTGGTTGGTTTTACAATAATTTCAGTTCATCAATCTGGAGAGCCTAATGTTATTCAACCATCTAGTTAAAAATAATGGCAGGGGCTGAAAAATAGAATCTTATCATTGCTTGTAGTTTGAAAGTCGCGCTGGGAAATTGGAATTGTTAATGCTGTATAAATTGAAGCTAAACCAATCTTGAATAATTACACTATATATATCTTGTTTTGGGGCATGACTCGACTGTTGATTGCCAACACTTCTCTACCCAGGCCATTGTCTTGCCCAAATGCCCACTCATGCCTCCATACCCCCCGACCCCCCACACATCCCCACATGCCCCTCTCTGTTATATCGTTGGTTATTATCGCCATATTATTCCTGTCCTTCGTAACCCTGACCGCTGCTGCCAATGATGGCTGTGTGATAGGTGACCTGCGATGTGCCTGCCTATTGAAGTTTGTCAACCATGAATAATTTGGCATCCTGAAACAATAATGTACATAAATACAATGGAGAAAGACGTACGATCTGTCACTCACCCCCTTTACTGTTATAGATAGCATGCCTGTCACTGGCACCACGTTCATGGTGGTGCCTGTGGTTTACTTCGCTGTTTTTCGCTGGATAAATTCCTCGTTGATAAAATTTAGACCAGTTGAAGTATTTCAAGTCGATAAAAGAAACTCCGACATTCATGGCTCAGGCGAGGGGCTGAAATTAACGCTAACTTTACGCTCAAGCTTTTCGATGAACGCAGATCTGCGGTGATCACAGTGGCCTCGAAGCGAATGCGACATCGTATGAAGGATTCGGCATCGTATGTGGTATATGACGTATGTAGTATAAGACGTCGTATGCGGGTAGGCATGCCACGTAGTATTCGTCATCGTATGTGGGATACATGTTCGTAAATTGGAAACGATGCCGCACGTGACAATACTTAAATACGGCTCATCGGGTATGCATCATAGCTACCTCACCCGCCGGCCGCCATATCGTATCATAGTGATATCGGCTCTGAGGAATAGGCCTGATGTGGCCTGTCTCCGATTCTTGTACTTTTTGTGACTTGTTCGTCCACAGGCGATCCGAATACAGGTCCTATGACCAGATCTTCGAAACTGACGATAGTTTGAAATAGCTACTAGACTTCCACCGGGTTCGATATGGTGCTAGGCATTTCAAGTCTGAACATATATTTTTCCATAGCTTTATCTAGTCTGTTCTTGAACGCGTTCATACTTGGAGCGCCAACGATGTAATCGGGGAGGCTGTTCCACATGTCGGTGACTCGAAGCGTTAAGAAGTATTGTTGCGTGGATAAGTTGCATCTCAGTTTTTTTAGTTTATAGCCGTGGCCCCTGGTGTTGGTTCTTGTTTCAAATTCTGGGTGTGCAGCCCCGGCAACCCTACCCGCCATGGGTGTGCAGCCCCGGCAACCCCACTCGCCATGGATGTGCATCCCCGGTAACCCCACTCGCCATGGATGTGCATCCCTGCAACCCCAGCCGCCATGGATGTGTAGCCCCGGTAACCCCACTCGCCATGGATGTGCATCCCTGCAACCCCAGCCGCCATGGATGTGCAGCCCCGGCAACCCCACTCGCCATGGATGTGCAGCCCTGCAACCCCAGCCGCCATGGATGTGCAGCCCCGGCAACCCCAGCCGCCATGGATGTGCATCCCTGCAACCCCAGCGCCATGGATGTGCAGCCTAGGTAACCCATGCCTGGGGTGGCCGCCAATTTCTATTCCTAGCGTCGCTCTGACGTCAGCAACTCGTGACATGTCACCTGAAGAATAATTAACGAAGTCTTTAATTAGATAATTAACGTTGTTTAATGGAAAATACATCATTAAACCGTAAAACTATCCGAATTGAAAATCCACATTACTTTTTATGCCATTATATTGATTTAATGAAACCAATGATGAGTGTTTTGAATCTATTTGTTAGGACCAATCAATCAATTTTTACGTATCTTTTAAAACGTTAGTTGTATCGAATATAAATTGTGTTAAATTTGTCGATTGATCACGAAATGTATAGTTAATATTAATTGATCAATGATTAATAATAAGACCGCAACATGTTCAGGCGAAATATCTCAAAACATATCATATCCGATCGCTTTTCTAATAAAAAACGTAGGTATCGATTTTGAAGATATTAATCGTCAAATGGAAAGTTCATTGATGTCATTGAGTGAAGAAACACCTTAAGCATAATATATCTCAAGTTTAAAGTGCGCATCTGTATTGTCAAGCTAGAAATGACGACAAAATAAAAAAATAAACAGATGTGTGCTCGTGTCCAACTGCGTTTACATTACGTGTAAACAAACTCCCTCTGGCAACACCGCTGCAGCATGAACGTGACGATGGCAACACCGCTGGGCACATGCGGTGTCAGGCAGTCGCCATCAAGCAGCACGTGTGAGTTGTGTGCGACATTGAAGACTAGTCAACTGAACCTGTGCTCCTTGTAGTTCTTGCTTCTTTGTAGTGACTTTTAGATGTTATAGTTTAACAATAATGTGTGGTTTGATTTAACTTGAGTTTTTATTCGATAAGGAAAAGAATATTCAATTGCTAACAATTTTGCTTTAGAAAACACATTGGTAGATTTATACAAAATAAACTAAGAAGATTTACCTTTCGGCATTACGTGGGGAAATTACGTCATTTTTCATGGCAACCTTGGATCAAATTTTCATCCATTGAATACACCAACACGATAGTTTGAAGTTCGTTATAACAATCATCGGTTGGTGGTGTCGAAGCCTCTACCGTGTTGGTGTCAAAATAGCAAACAAGCAGACTGTGGACAGACGCTGTCTGCGGGCAAACATTGTCTGCGGACGGACGGTGTCTGCGGACAGTCGGTATCTGCGCTGACGTGTGAGGCGTCACCTCACATCCTGCGCTGACGTGTGAGGCGCTACCTCACATCCTGCGCTGACGTGTGAGGTGTCACCTCACACCCTGCGCTGACGTGTGAGGCGTTACCTCACAACCTGCGCTGACGTGTGAGGCGTTACCTCACAATTACCACCAACGCTCGTCTGTTCTGTATGCCCACACACGCCTCTGTCTCCCACTCAGACCTTGTACACATGTGTGCCTGTGTGTTCGTATGTGTTGCTGCTGTGTGCGTGATAAGGGTTTGCGTCTATACACTTGTGTTATTCGTGTGGTCATTTGTCCCACATTTGTGCGCTGTCTGTAGCGTTCAGGCTTGGGCTACAATGGGTTGTGTGTGAAGGCTAACGCATTCGTGTTTAACTGTAATTAAAGTGTCATATGTGCTGTACGTTGTATAATGTGTGTGTTGTACATACACGAGCAATATGTGCGTTTATGTGTCGTGCTCAGATCACACGTACAGTACAGGGTGATCTATTCCTAACTCTTGTGCTATTCCATGATGCTTTGGGGCAGCGTTGTCACCAGCTGAGTAAATCGCTGCCGTTTACACAAGTGTTATGTTCAGTCGCAGTCTGCAGCTGCATGCTGCCAGCACTGCAGACAAGCCTTCAGATCAGTCGCAGTCTGCAGCTGCATGCTGCCAGCACTGCAGACAAGCCTTCAGTTCAGTCGCAGTCTGCAGCTGCATGCTGCCAGCACTGCAGACAAGCCTTCAGTTCAGTCGCAGTCTGCAGCTGCATGCTGCCAGCACTGCAGACAAGCCTTCAGTTCAGTCGCAGTCTGCAGCTGCATGCTGCCAGCATTGCAGNCTGTCTCTTATACACATCTAGATGTGTATAAGAGACAGGTTGTGGCTAGGTGAACCTGTATGGGCAATAGGTGGCTAGATGGTTGTGGCTAGGTGCGCCTGTATTGGCAATAGGTGGCTAGATGGTTGTGGCTAGGTGCGCCTGTATTGGCAATAGGTGGCTATAGATGGTGTAAAATCAGTCCCTCCTGAACCTGGTCGTTTGTATTCAAAGATGGTTAGTAACAATCCCTATTGATAACCTCCTGCTAATTGTCATGTATGTGGTGTTTATGAACTTTGTTTAAGGCTTCTAATAGGCAAAAACGATTTTTTTAATATCCTTTATGGTTTTAACGGACGTGGTTTTAATGAACCAACATTGCGAGAAATGCATCCAACTTCCAAGTGAATTTCGTCGTTGATGAAAATTTAGTGAATAAAAATGTTTAAGTTCAGATTCATTATCTTTTGTTGGCCATCGACTAGTCATTCAAGCTCAAGATTAAAAATTAACTACTGATTAATGACATAATTTATTTTATAATTTACATAGCAAACTAGGCGCTGCAACAGATGTGGATGGAGTTATTGTGTCGCTATCTTATCGCTTATTGTGTCGCTATCTTAGTTATTGTGTCGCTATCTTTTGCCGTGACCACTCTCTTGCTGGAGATAGTGTTGCGTGAATATATATTCACCACACAAATTGTACAGCCCCATTCAAGATTATGTTTTCATCCATTTACACTGAACCTACTAAGAATAAATCGGAAGAAAACAAATCTAGAAATCAACCTGAAAGTAAAATTGGTTTCTGCAGAATTGATTACATTCAAGCGTGACAAATTTTTTATTTTGTCCCGTCAATGGATTAATTAAGGCTGATATGGAAAAGATAGTGAAGATCGAGGTTAGGCGTAGATAAGGCGAGTTGAAGAGGGTGCAAGAGATGCTGGTCTAGACATGAGAGAACTTGTCATTGCTATGTTGATCTTGCAAGTGAGTGCACTGTAAGTTGATATATTCATCAAATAATCGAGATTGAGTATCCGAGCGAGCAATGGTTGAGGGCTGAATCAAAGATCGCGTCTGATGAAAAATATTTGAACGATATGAACCGAAAATTTGCACAGATGTTTACAGAACTATAACAGAAAATAAAGCGGTAATTTGATGGAAAATTCATAGATATGAACGCTCAGGATAAATCCTTTAAATATTTATTAGCTTTTCAAGCACTCTGATGGTTTTAGATGTTTTTAGTGAGATGGTTCTACATTGTTCTGGTAGAGAACGTTGTCAAGAATGATTAATGTGTCCTCCTACGGCTAAGTCTCTTTCAAAAAATAAAGAAAATCTATGGTACTGATAAACCATCGTTACTGAATTATTTTTATTGAGGCTAAGTCTCTTTAAAAAAATAAAATCTTTACTGACAAAACCATCGTTAATTATTTTTATTGAACTTTTCAGATAATATAGAAGGAAGTTAAAAATTCGCATAGGGAAATAACTACAACAAAATGTCGGACGACAAGGAATCGCCGGAGCAGGAGCACGCTGAGGACTCAGTCGAGTCCCTCCAGCAGCCGCTGCTGACGCTGGACAGAATCTTTATGTTGTTGTTGTTCGCGTTGCTGTCCATGCTGCTGGACTGGGTGCTGGATCTGGTGGACGTTGATAACAGCGAGCTGCTGGGCATAGTCATCTGGATAGCGGCTGCTGGCGTCTTTCTTGGCATGTCGTCGAAGAGGGTGAGAATCAAATATAAAACGATCATTCAATTGACTGAATAATTTGTTCAACCTGGTATGAAGAAAAACATTGCACAAGTATTTTATCGACTGAATAATTTTTACATCTGACGAGAACTAAAACATTTGAAGAACATTTTATTGACTGAAAATTTTGTGCAACCTGGTGAGCACTAAAACATTTTACGAATATTCAAACGATGTAATAATTCACGCGGCCTGGTAGGGATAGCGTAGCAAAAGTGTGATGAAACTTTGTCGCCAGAGACTGTAAAAGGGTTCACTCCCATGACGTGAAATTATTAGGACATGAAATTATCATCACCTGTTCTAAGCAAGTGAACACATAAGATGCAAGTGTAATATATTTGTTTCCAATGTGGCCACAGCTTCCAGCGGCCGGGAAGGCGGTCCTCATCACCGGCTGCGACTCCGGCATCGGCCTGCAGCTCGCGCAGTACCTCCATAAGGGCGTGAGTCATGTTAACGTTATCATGAGTCATGTTACCGTTACCATGAGTCATGTTAACGTTACCATGAGTCATGTTAATGTTACCATGAGTCATGTTATTATTACCATGAGTCATGTTACCGTTACCATGAGTCATGTTACCGTTACCATGAGTCATGTTACTGTTACCATGAGTCATGTTAATGTTACCATGAGTCATGTTAATGTTACCATGAGTCATGTTAATGTTACCATGAGTCATGTTAATGTTACCATGAGTCATGTTAATGTTACCATGGGTCATGTTACTGTTACCAAGAGTCATGTTTATCATTATCATGAGTTACAATAGGTACTGCTCCAAGAAACTGAAACTCCATACCTCAGCAGACTTGGCATTCCAACGTATTCACGATTTTATATACAAGCTAAGTTAGAATCTGATGCCTCATAAAAAAACCTCATGGATATCTTATTACTCATGGATATTACTCAAAAACATTTCCCTACAATCCATTTACTCAAAAACATTTTCCTACTATCCAACTATATATGTTTTCATCTTAACGGCGTTCATTACCTGGTCCACATCATCGTGTTAGAGCTCATCTATCAATGCTTGAATTATATCTTGCATTATAATAGAAAACATCATGCAATATTGTTGGGTTTGCCGCTGGGGCTGCAATGTTCGCTGTATCTGAAATATTGAAATAAATGAAATGCCGCAGTAATAACCCAGTGAAAATTTACAGACGCGGCAGCTTCTGATTGTGATTACTAGAAGCTGGGGCGACTCTAAATTTTGTTAGGGTTATTGGGTGTGTTGCAGGGGCTGCGGGTGTTTGCGCTGTGCCTGATGGACGGCGAGGGCGCTAAGACCCTGAGGGCGCTGAAGAGCGATCGTCTGCACGTCATCCTGGGCGACGTGACGAAGCCTGAGGAGCTGAAGAAGGCGCGTACGACGGTGCAGGAGCTCCTACCTGAAGGAGGTCAGTCAAGACGATGAAGGAGTCTCAAGTCGCGAGACCGGGCATTATTATTGGAACAAAATTACAATGGATCTGGGGAAGTCATGGTTGAACTATATAAGGTTGACCCACGATGATTTCCGTCTTTCAGTTCAGCTTTCTTGTTACGTAACTGAGATCGAGAAACTTTAACAATCCTGCCATTACCATGACGGATTGATTGACTGCTTTGATCGCATTTCGGTGATTGGTTAATGCTCGTGACGTCACTGAGATCGTGACGTCACAGGCGAACAACAAACTACATCCGCAAAAATGAGCTTCTCAGGGGTCAACCTTATACTAGTTCAAACATGGGGGAAGTAGTCTCAGTGCGAGATATTCTACATTATTGGAACGCATTCTAAGGAACTACTAACACCATCGCTTATCACTTACATAGATGTGATGAGGTACTTGCGTACTACTCTCATGTCATGTATTATGTCAGCTATGGAAAGATCGGGTTCCAAAGGCCGGATCCCTTGTGAATCAAGTCACGAAAAGTTCAAGAATCGGCAACAGGCCATGGGCCTATTTCTTCAACGCCGACACTTCTATTCTATTCTATTATTGGAACCCACACCGTTGTCGAGGCATATAATGAACAACACAATTAAGAAAGAAAAAGGTTGGTACAAAAGCAAACCTCGAGGCTCGTGATGGACGAGGTGCAGACGTGCACATGAATTGTTAGCTCGCCATCTATTGTGCATTATAAATATAGGATTTAGTATTTCAAGTGATCATCCACAACGACGATGCTAGTCTTTACGACTGATTTTCTGGCTTGCTACAATATTGTACTAAATATGCATGTTTATCCTGAATTTGATGCATCAGTGAGTTTAGAACTGACCTCACCGCCGTTTGAATCCCATGAGTTGTGATGTCAAGTACTTATTATCAGATAAATTATACTTGAATGTCTCACCAACGACAGGCTATAACCTCGTAGGTCTTAAAAATTCAGTCCGACGAATAAAACAAATATTTTAGGAATAAGCATTAAATAAGTAAAGCCCCAAGTCCTCCTCTATTGTCCCCAGAAGGCCTGTGGGGCGCAATTAAGTAAAGCTCCAAGTCCCCCTCTATTGTCCTCAGAAGGCCTGTAGCCCCAAGTCCTCCTCTATTGTCCCCAGAAGGCTTGTGGGGCGTAATTAAGTAAAGCTCCAAGTCCTCCTCTATTGTCCCCAGAGGGCCTGTGGGGCGTGGTCAACAACGCGGGCATTGCAGCGTTCGGGGACGTGGAGTGGCTGCCGCTGAGCACCTACAGGAAGATCTACGAAGTGAACGTCGTGGGCACCATAGCTGCCACGCAGGCCTTCCTGCCTCTCGTGCGCCGTGCTAAAGGTGCCACGTGTAGGCCTAAAAATAAATTTTGATTCCTTATTGAGGGAAAAGATGGATCCGTGACACAGTCACTGATTTGTGACAGATGCATGCGACATTTTAGTTTCCAAGACATTCTTTTGTATATAAGCATAGGTATGAAATTCTGCGTTCTAGTGCCAGTGGTAGGACAATCTGTGTTATGGAGCTAGAGATATGATATTACGATAGAGATAGGGCTCGGGGTACGACAATCCTTTGCACAGTGTCAGAGAAAAAGAATCCAGTATTTACCATAGGTATGACATTCAAGTATTTCAATTCTTTGTCATGCATCCCTTTATGTCAATCAATCAATCGTCAGCTATGGAAAGATCGGGTTCCAAAGGCCGGATCCCTTGTGAATCAAGTCACGAAAAGTACAAGAATCGGCAACAGGCTTTGGGTCTATTTCTTCAGTGCAGACACTTCTAATCTATTCTATGTCGAGCCGCCATAGAAAGAACATAAACTTTGTGGGCTCGTTGTAACTATACACATCCTTAGTCTTCCCAGATGTACGAACACATTTTATATCCTCCCAAAAAAAGTAATGCATTGTACATGAAGCCGAAGGTTCGACTCGCTAATACCTGCGTACACGTACAATAAGCCTCTTGAATTTTCCAATATTTTACAAGATGGAAAAAGCTACTACAAACAATTATCTGGTTCGTTCATAATTACTCGTCGTTTAGTACTTAAGCTTCATTCATAATTCTTATCATGTAAATAAAGCATGCCATGCTGCAGGCCGCATCGTGAACGTGGCGAGCATGCTGGGCCGCATGGGCGTGCCTATGCGGTCGCCTTACGTCGCGTCCAAGTTTGCGGTGGAGGGCCTCAGTGACTGCCTGAGGTCAGTGCCAGGGCCTCAGTGACTGCCTGAGGTCAGTGCCAGGGCCTCAGTGACTGCCTGAGGTCAGTGCCAGGGCCTCAGTGACTGCCTGAGGTCAGTGCCAGGGCCTCAGTGACTGCCTGAGGTCAGTGCCAGGGCCTCAGTGACTGCCTGAGGTCAGTGCCAGGGCCTCAGTGACTGCCTGAGGTCAGTGCCAGGGCCTCAGTGACTGCCTGAGGTCAGTGCCANATGTGTATAAGAGACAGGTGGGTGGTGGTGGTGGTGGTGGTGGTGGTGGTGGTGGGTGTGGTGGTGGTGTGGTGGTGGGTGTGGTGGTGGTGGAGGAGTGGTTGCGGCAAATATTGTTGCACCTTTGCTCGAAAAACCACCATAAAACTGACATGCCTGACCGGCATGTCAGTGACCACACGCACGATACTGCCATATCTGAATGCCGGCCGACACGCAAAAAAAAACACCGTGTCGCCGTTTTTCTCTTGAAATTTACCACAAGAAACCCGTTACAAATTTGAAAAAAGCCAAAACGGTTTGTTTCCACAGGGTGGCCGCCACCATAACGCCGGTGACACAATTTTTTTCACCGTTATTCCGAACAATGTGGCATGATGAAAGTGTTATTGAAGTGGTTATTGGTGGTGTGGTGTTGTGGTTATGGTGACGTGGTTGCGGTGGCGTGGTTGGTTTGGTATATACGTGGTGTCATGATCACTTTATTGTTACTTGGATTTACCAAATTTGCGACAAAAAAATTAAAAATGAATTAATGTTAGTATATAAATAATGTTAAAATTAGACTAAAATAATGTAATTGTTCAGGCACGAACATCTTCACGGAGGAGAGCGTGCAGAAAAGCGCGGACGAGATGTGGGCGAACATGAGTGAAGAGGTGAAGAGCGACTACGGTGAAGAGCTATTAGAATTAATTTTAGTCTGCTTAGCCACCTGATCGAAATCAGTTACTGGGCCTATACTTTAAAAAAAGTTAAGATATCGTAAGTTCATCAGCCAGTCATTGACGACCTTTCAAGCAAAATCCACCAATCATAGACAAGAAAATAGAGCGTAAGTACTTACGTTCACTTGACGAGTTTTGAAAGTATGGCCCCTGGTCAGAATCTTCTTCCCGAGTATATTATAGTCGGCTGAGAGTATGACAAGGGTTGTCCTGGCCGAGTTAGTATGAGCTTACAAGCTGCTTTAAGGCTGCACTTTAGGCACTGCCATAGAGCGGCTGATTCACGGGCTCCCCGAGTCCTGGGCGGCACCTGAATCGGATGTCAGGCCCGCAGTACGAATTTTTAGGGGTAAGGCGGAGTAAATAATAATTATTTTGAAGAATACTAACTTGAGAAACACAGAATACATAAATTACGGATACTAGTAACTAAAAAATCAACATCAAAAACACAACTATAGTACTAGGAAAGTACACAGCGAATCAATACCCATTAAAATGAACAATGAAATATTAGCACCTGCACGAGTTACTGGTACAATATCATAGACGAAATTTCATCATTGAGACATTTCATCATGTATCCTTTACCAATATAACCTAACCTAACGTTAGCTTACCTAACCTACATGCACTTTATGTAAAGATGAAATTTTATGGTGTGTTATTATAGGATGTAATGTCCCAATGACAAAATGCGTCAATGACAGAATGAAATGTTTCGTATCATGAAGTGTCAGATGACCGCAGTTACACAACCTACAATTTTGACTGCATGCCTCTTGCACAACTCCGCACCACACCATGACCATCCTTGCGCCCCCATGAACTAAATTTTCTATTAATTCATCTCTATTAAAAGAATTTTACCTCCTGACGATATTAATATAACCTTGTATATGAACATGAAACATGGGCTTTGTGGAAAAATTTTCAGCGAAAGGATTATTCCGTCGGAAAATTCTATTTATTCAAATAGTTTTGAATGCCACCATGAAAGTTTTGACATTTTAATTGTTAAATAAACACGAATGTCTGGTAAAAACAGAATTATAAGTTGAAGGTTGTCCTTTTGGCAATGGGCAGTTTTTTTTAGTGTCGTACGTCTTCCATTAATCTGGAGGTTAACATTTTGGCAATTAGCAATTTTTCTTGAGTATCGTACGTCTTCCACAGAGCACGGACCTGACGCCTGTGCTGCAGGCGTTCGCTGGGGCGCTGCTGGACGCGGTGCCCCAGGCGCGCTACCAGCCCATGGACCTCTACTACAAGACCAGGGTCTTCGTCGCCTCTCACTGCCCTGAATGGCTCTACGATAACATCTACGTCGGCTGCCTTAATAAATAAATAGAGTTTCTGCAGAACAACCTGCAAACTATTCGTTCAGATTGTCATCTGTCACGTAGGAAAACAACTTTAGTGTACGACAACATCTACGCCGAATACCTATATAATCTTGATGACTCTTTATCCTGGCGTAAAATCTATATACGGGGCGGGTGAGTGCTGTACGCGGCGGGGTGAGTGCTATACGCACTGGGTGGCCCAGTGGTTAAAGTTCAGAGTACCAATATTGGCGCAGAGAGGCGCGGGTTCGATCCCAGCTCTGTGCGCCAGTTTCTGGTCAGAATCGCCAAGGAGGCCGGGCGGTTAAACACTGCAGAATTGTTGCAGTGAGTTGCGAGTTCGAGACCGCAACAAGCTGTGAATGTTCTGCGATTTTAAGAATCGGCGACAGGCTTATGGCCTAATAAACGCTGAAACCGCTATTATCATTATATGCTTGCACAATAATTTCCGTTTTAGACAACAATGATGACTGTTCGATTATTTTTCAATGTTAATCCAACCAAATGTATTTCGATGGGACGTTGCTACTCGTCACTAATTTGTCTTTGTAAGACGGGATAAATTATAATATATAATAATTTGTGGGACGGGCTAAATAATATTAAATAATAAATATTGGGATGGGCTAAATAATATTATATAATAATTTGTGGTACGGGCTAAATAATATAAACAATAATTATTGGGATGGGCTAAATAATATTAAATAATAATTTTTGGAGCGGACTAAATAATAAATCATGATTTGTGACGCGGGCTAAATAAACCTAAAATGTCGTTACACGTCGTATGTCACCTGAGTGAGGAATGAACTCAGCTTTATTTCATATAGTTATAGAGTGTGAGCGCATGGAACTCAAGAACAAATTCTGCCAATAATACAATAAGACAAATTGCCCCGACCTATGAATTTCGCCTTAGCAATTCAGGTTGGAATCTCAGCACTGATCGGTGTTGTGTGTGTGCGTTAAGGTGCTTGTAATGATATATTTCATAAGTGTTTATGTATTTGTTATGATATATTTACTGTGTGGTGACGTTGTCATTGAATGATCTACCTTCCTTCTCATCCAGCCCGTCCCCATATCTTGAGGGGAAAGCTCTGCGTGCAATCTCCTAACTAGTCGGCGGCTAGAGCAGGGCTAGGATAGAGTAGGGCAAGCCTATAGATTTAAACCTAGGGCCTATAGATTAAACCTACCTAGGGCAAGCCTATAGATTTAAACCTAGGGCCTATAGATTAAACCTACCTAGGGCAAGCCTATAGATTTAAACCTAGGGTCTATAGATTAAACTTACCTAGGGCAAGCCTATAGATTTAAAACCTAGGGCCTATAGATTATACCTACCTAGGGCAAGCCAATAAATTTAAACCTAGATTAGGGCTATAAAGGCCATATTAAACCTAGAGCGTGGCTATAAAAGCTATATTAAAACTAGAGTAGGGATATAAAGGCTAAATTAAACCTAGAGTAGGGCTTATTTAATTTCTCAGGTGCTAATTTAGAAGCACCGCTCGCCTTTGTTGCCCAAAACGACAATATTAACAAAATGCAGTGCAGCCGTCATCACCGCCCCACTTCTCTTAGTTTTTTTCCCCGCAATAAGCGAGTTTCACTCTCGTTTTATAACGAAAATAATGACATTAATAAATCGCTAATATAAGATTTAGATTTAGATTGTGAAATTAATTTTAATTTTAAAATAAAACTGTGAAAACGATTACCAACTTGCATCATCAGGGTCCATATAATGTAATTCATGCACTGGATTTATATGCGAACTACTTTATAATGCACTATACCTATCTGCCAGAGAATTTAATACACATATTTTTGTGCTAAATATGCGAAAGTATTTATCAAGTATTTTGCCAAAGTCAACGGTGGCAATTCTTTCTCGAAATATAGCACGTATGACAATCCCTGACCATTCTATTGTTCGTAACGATTAGTGAGCAGTCTGTTGTTCGTAATACGTAGTTCGTGAGCAATCTATTGTTCGTAACAGTTCGTGAGCGATCTACTCTTGTCTATGGAGAAGGAGTAAGACTACTGCCTAATAAATATAGTCTCTTGGTCGGTCTTTAGCTGGCCAAGAGAAACTATCAAAGTCTAACAGCAGTAGTGCAAACTCTAATAACGATTTATTTCTGTATATGTAAGCAGTAAAAAATTGCAGAGAAATAGAAATTGTTTGGCCGGCTGTAAATGAACCTAATATAATAAATATATTAAAAGTTTGTCGTCATTTTCAGTCATTCAGCAAAAAATTTCTGTGATGTATTTTTTCAGTTTGAAATTTGCTAAATTGATAAGGAAGCTTTTATTTGAGGCACATTACTTGAGGCATAATCTACTTACTGAACCGCATCACCAGAAAATTTTTACTGGCAAGAAATGAGGTTTATAAGAAATAAATTCGTACAGAAAGCATTTTATTGAAAAGATAGATTTTATTTTACCAGTGTAAAAATAATGTTTATAATAATAATTTATTTTACCAGTGAAAATAATGAAGTAATTGCCAAAATAGGAGGAAAGTACGTATGGAGGATGCAAATCCTTCAATCAAAGTGAAGACGTGGACTGAAATCCACAATCGAGTCCTTTGATATCCTGCAAAGCTATTGGCCGAAGTTTTTTTTGCACTGATATTGGCTTATAATTCCTGCAGAGCTATTGGCCGAAGTTTTTTTTTCACCAATATTGGCTGATAATTTCTACAGATCTATTGGCCGATGTTTGCACTGATATTGGCTGATAATTCCTGCAGATCTATTGGCCGATGTTTTGCACTGATATTGGCTGATAATTCCTACAGATCTATTAGCCGATGTTTTGCACTGATATTGGCTGATAATTCCTACAGATCTATTGGCCGATGTTTTGCACCAATATTGGCTGATAATTCCTACAGATCTATTGGCCGATGTTTTGCACTGGTATTCCCAGCACTGTTAATAGCCAGTATAGTTGTTGCAGTGCTATTGGCCTATGTCATGCTATCATTTCTTAATATAATAAAACTTAAGAGTTTCTTCACAATTCTTGGAGGTGTGCTTTCATCTGCGATGTTCGGTCGAACAAAACATTAGGTGGATCAGTAGCTCGGCCGCGTACAGTGCGCTGCATAACATAATAATTATTGATCTTGTTCGCTCCGTTAAATTAATAAGCTTTTTCATCGTCAGTAGCGTAACTAAAATAATATCTAACAAAGTATAAATAATTTTAATAGCATTAATGTCATGAATCACACATAATAATGATCATTCAATCATCTCAAAGTTTTGAGTAGAGTACAAAAGCTGGGAAAATAATCAAGTTGATGAATGATGACAAATTTTTGTAGTTCTCTTTTTTCGCGCTTTAAAATTTTTTGTATTTGATAGTACAGGAATTTATGAATAATTATTTACAATAGATAGATATCATACAATTTAAGCGCTGATAGAGATGCGTTTCACTACTCATCAACATCTGTATTTGTAATAAAAAACAGCAATAAAATAATAACTGTATCAGTGTTACTGTTATAAAAAATTGCGTTATTTGCATCGTTCAATAGGCAAAGATAATAGCACGTAATACGATAATTATACTCGTAGTTTAATTACTTTACAGAAGTTCATGTGAAATAAACTTCAAAAATTTAAGTTGGCCGGGAGTCGGGCAGGAGTTCGGTTACGGCGGTGATGTCCACGACGTCGGGGGGCGGCGGGGCATGTTTTTGGGGAGTGCTTGAGGACCTCAGGGTGGCAACACTGGGGTACAGGTTTGGGGGATGAGGCTCTTCATCATCACTCCAAGTGGGAAAAGGCGTCTCATCAACCCCCGAAGGAAGGTAGCTACTGTAACGATAAGCTTCTTGTTCCCCGGATTTCTTTGGCGATGCTTCACGCACCGAAATTTCCCCTCCATCGTCCCCGTCCCTGAGGGCCTGAGTTTCGGGACCGAGTTCTGGGACCTCGTCGTATCGCTGGGAGTTGCGCTGGTGCTCCCTTATAGACACGGTGCGTATGGGCATGTTGTTGATCTCCCTGCGCAGGGAGTCGAGGGTTTGCTGCTGAGGGAGCAGACAGAGTTTGAAGACGAGGTAGTAGGCGAGGGCGACCGCGAGGGCTCCGCCTGCAAAGATCTGGAAGGCCATGGCGGTGCCCAGCTCACTCATGAGGTAACCGCCCGCGAAACTGCCGGCGCTCTTGCCTGCCATGCGGAAATTTGATCTGCATTTTCGAATTCAGGAGTTAATTGCGGCACTGGCCGAGCTTTGGCCGCACTTTGGTCGCACGTTTGACGCACTTTGGCAGCAATATCGTCTAATTTTAAGGAATGGTTTGAATATTTTATTTAAAAAAAAAAACAGTTAATTGCAGCACTGGCCGAGCTTTGGCCGCATTTTGGTGGCACGTTCATCGCACTTTGGCAGCAATATCTTCCAATTTTAAGGATTGATTTTAATATTTTCTTTAAAAAAACCTTGCTATTATGAAAATTACGGCCTAGTGCCTCTATATGTGAACCCACAACCGCCCCACTCACCCAATCCGTAGTGCACGGTCGCCAGCACGCCCTGCAGGGTGGCCTGGGCGGTGGGCGGCGCGAGGTGGGCGGCGTACAACACACTCGCCGCGATGAGCAGCCCCGTCGTGGCGCCCTCAGCCACCTCCAGGGGCAGGCACCAGTAGGGGTCGGTCAGCAGGGAGTATCCTGGTGGGGAGGAGGGGATTAGGAGGCAGCAGGGAGTATCCTGGTGGGGAGGAGGGGATTAGGAGGCAGCAGGGAGTATCCTGGTGGGGAGGAGGGGATTAGGGGGCGGCAGGGAGTATCCTGATGGGGAGGAGGGGATTAGGGAGCAGCAGGGAGTATCCTGGTGGGGAGGAGGGGATTAGGGAGCAGCAGGGAGTATCCTGGTGGGGAGGAGGGGATTTGATGAAAGAATTCAGTAAGAAAATACAATATCAAGAAGTATTAATGAAACTCTCTTACAATTAACTCTCATGGCCTACGAAGTCTTTCATCTTGGAGCTCGTGCCCAGACTGAGCGCCTTTTTTCCGTATTGTGAAAGCAGCTTGCACAATATACAGAGCCTATTAGCCCCACACATGACATTCAATGTTATACATCCTCACCGATGCAGCGAACAGAATAGCACACGAGGCCAAACGCGATGGCCTGAACATGGCCAAATTTGGCGCACACGGCGCCCGAGATGGCCAGAAATGGCAGCGCGGCCACGGAGGCCACGGTTGTGGTCATGCCGATGAACCAATTCGTGGCGTTGAGGTCCCGCAGCAGCCACGGCTGGAAGTGCTCGATGAACCCGTAGCAAACTCCTGAAGTTCGGAATAAAATTCGAAAGCTCAAGTTACAATAAAATTCAAAACACTCAAAGTTACATAATTGTGAATATTTAAAAACAATACTACAATGCCATAATATAAAAAAATACACTCAACCAATGTTTTTAAAAATTACGACGGAATTGTCAGGACTTCATTGAGTCCTAAAATCCTCAGTCATTGAGTAACAGGTTGCAAAACTTTAAAAGCGGTAATATTTTCTGAATGTTACAGGTATGTATTAACAGTTTCTGTTTGCTGTATGTTATGTGATAACAGTTACTGCATTTTAGAAGGGCTAGCATTTGCCGAATGTTAAAAGTGGTAAGAGTTATTGAATGTTAGGAGGTGCAACATTAAAGATGTTTTAAGAATCGTTCGGTGCAAGAAATTCTCGATGCACGCAGGGTGGACAAGTGATTACAGTTCAGAGCAACAAAATTGGAGCAATGAGTTATGATTTCGACCCCAGCTTTATGTGAATGTTCTGGTGATAATTGGTGAGATGGTCTGGGAGTTGAGCAAAACAATATTTAAGCTGTGAGTTACGTTTTCGATATTCGAAGCAAGATGTGGAAATTCCGCTATGTTCAGAATCGGCTGCTGGCCTGATAGCATAATCTTCATTGCTGGCACTGCTATTCAATTCTATTCTACATGTGAGGTCTGGAGCTTTAGTTATAAAAAGTTCAAATAAAAACTTTATTCATCTCAACGGTGAGCGTTGCAGATCGGTTAGTTTAGCCTACAGAGGACTAGAAGGTATTACTACATAGATTCACTGACACCTAATTGTACAACACGTAATTCACTCGTACTTCAACATACAAGGGATATATACTCGTACTTCAATACGAGGGATATGCTCGTATTTAAATGCAAGGAATATACCCGACGATGATGGTGACCTGACACAAAGACGGCGATGGTGAGCAGGGCGACGTGTGGGGTGAGCAGCAGCCTGACGACGTTGTGCAGGAGGCTGCGGGACGGCGGCTTGAAGCGCAGGTCTACCGCGCACAAAACCGCGGCGCACAGCAGCTTCAGCACCGTGTATGCCCCGAACGTTGCGCTGGGTCATTCAAAATATAATTATTATTAAGAGTCATTGATATTATTTGAAGGCAGTTCCTCCTAAAAACTGGATGCTTGAGATAGTATGTTAGACAAGGGTAATCTGAGTAAGGGTATGAGTCTATAATAAAGTGAGATTATAATGGAAGTGGAGAGGCAGGTGCGCAGAGAGTGCCTACCACGGATGGAATACTAGTGCGGCAGTCCAGAACTGCTGCGTTCAAAACGCTTTCCAAATAGTGAGGGTAAGTGATCCAGGGGTAATAGTGAGGGTAAGTGGTAATAGTGAGGGTAAGTGATCCAGGGGTAATTGTGAGGGTAAGTGGTCCAGATGTAATAGTGCGGGTAAGGGCTCTGCACTCACTAGTAGTGATATGGGGCGCTGCCGTCCCCAAATAGGTCTATAAGCACCCCTGCGAGGGGGGCGCAGATCATGCCGCCCAGGGAGCCGTGCAGCCTCTGCAGGCCGTAGTCGTGACCGTGATGCTGCAGCACGGCCACTGTCGCCACCTGCCGCACCATCACATTAGCCATGTGCCGCACCATCACATTAGCCATATGCTGCACCATCACATTAGCAATGGGCCGCATCATCACATTAGCCATACGCTGCATCATCACATTAGCCACCTGCTGCATCATCACATTAGCCATATGCCGCACCATCACATTAGCCATATGCTGCATCATCACATTAGCCACCTGCTGCATCATCACATTGGCCATATGTTGCTCCATCACATTAGCAATGGGCCGCATCATCACATTAATCACCTGTCGCATATTCACCCTAGCTACCAGCATATTAAGGCAGCATGTTTTTATAGAATAAAATTGCCTCGTGACTAAGGTATAATGTAACAATTAAATAATTGACACGTTAAATAATATTATGGTGACCTATTCTGCATACTGCTTTCTGCGAACACTGACAATTTGGATCTCGTAAAAATAAATGAATCAACTTAGACTAGGATTTTGGTGATTTTTTGTGATGAAATAATTGGTAGTGGTGGTAAAAGAGTGGTAAGAGTGGTAAATTCCACATTCGATATATCGAGGTAAGCAGAGGAATGCAAATTGATTGTCAGGAAAGCGTTGAAATGGATGTTCTACTTAACTTAACCATTGAATGGGTCAGGCCTATGCTGAAACCCACGAGGAGGTCTTGCTTCACCCACCTCAAACAAGGTGTAGGTGAGGCCTATAGTGAAACCCGATGACACCTTCAGCCCGGTGAAGAGCCACATGGTCAACACGGGGTCGCTCTCATCTTCGGGAGGGGGGACACTTGCGCAAACTTCATCCATGGGCAGCGTGACGTCACACTCGAAATTGCACGTCACGTACGATTGGTCCGGACTAACTGCAGCCTTCGTCCCTGCCAATGTTATTGTTGAGACGTTCAGGGATTTTGCCAGCAAACCGTTGCTGCAGTCGAAGATGTGTTGTTCGTCGGGCGTCATCTGATAGCGGCCGTCTAGGTTAACTGTACCACCGCCGTCCAGAGTCATGAAGTTAACACTCGCCTAAAGAGATAGAGAAAATAGCAATGGGGAAATATAGCAAAATAATAACATGTGTGACGATAACTGACTGTTGTAGTTGGATGAATGTGGCTCCTGTTTTGTATATTATTATTGGCAATAGTATTATTATTATTCTACGAAGCCGTTCTCGTGGCGTCTGGTTCAAACGAACTTCGTGGGCACATTGCACTCAAGTTTAATTGCAAACGAAAATTCATAGACAAGAGAGAGGATGAGAACGGATGAAAAAGACTAGCCTTCATAGGCTTTACTAAATAGTTCCGTTGTTAGGCGTCGACAAAACGCCTGCACGCCTGCAACGAAGAAGCCGATGTTACGGAAGCCAGCAGAGTAGCAGACTGTTCCAGGTTCTGGCGGTGTCGACCGGGAACGCTCTGTCGCCAACAGTATATATGTAGACGTGTCGTCTTTTAGAAGGCAGATCCGAGACGTACTGCAGACATTCCGAGAGATGAGGAGGCGTCAGACCGTGAAGGCATCGGAACGTCAGAACAGCGTCCTTGAACTGCGTGCGCTGTTGCATGCGAAGCCAGTAAAGATTACGCAATATCGGCGACATGTGGTAGAATTTATGCTTATTGCACACGAGTCGCGCAGCAGCGTTAATTTCGAATTGCAGTTTGTTAAATTTCGTGGTCAGAAATCTATGGAGTGCGGCATTACCATAGTCCAATCTTGTCTGAATGAGCGCCACCACGAGGGCCTCGAGAGACAGCGGCTGACGCTACGTATTCGTCGCAGAGCGCCTAAACATGCGGTGATAACTTTGGCAATTTGATTGTTCATAGAAATTTACGAGTCCAAAAGAATGCCCAGGTTGCGAACCAAAGATGCAGGTCTGACAAACTCGCTGCCCACGCGAACAGGGTTGGCCGGACGCTGATATTGGCGCCGAGCTGTTGCAAATCAAATAAAGTCGATTTTTTATGCATGGAGCTGAAGCCGGTTGGAACGCATTCAGTCTGAGACGGCGTCCATGCTGACAGACATCCGGTCCTGCAACGCTGCAGCGTCAGCCGGCACACAGTAACCATAAATTTGGGTGTCGTCAGCGAAGATATGCTGTTTCAAACTATGTGAATCAATTATGTGCAACACGTCTACAATATATAACAGGAAGAGGATCGGGCCGAGGACTGATCATTGTGGTACGGCGCAAGTGACCAACGATGGCGGAGGAGAAGAGTGCCCGCGTCGAGCGCATTGAAATCTATCGCTGAGATAGGACTCGAACTACTGCAGCTCTGTGCCAAATGATACGTCATGTCAACGCAACAAAGTGGCCTTCTCGACCGTATCAAACGCGGCCTATGTCGAGTAAAGCCAGTGGCGCAATGCCGCCGCGTCCTACTGCTCGCAGAATATCTGAAGGCACCTTCAGCACAGTGGTTTCCGTTAAGTGGAGATGACGGTATGCAGACTGGAGGCGGGGCATGAGACCGGACTCCTGATGATGGTTATTCAACTGTCGGGCCACAACGCGCTTCAGGAGTTTCGACAAAATTGAAAAGTTGGATGGGCCGATATGACTTGAGATCAGAAGCGTCATGGTCGGATTTTTTCGGTTGAGGCGTAATGTAAGCTGATTGGAAATTCTCTGAAACAACACCGTCAGTGAGGCAGCGGTTGAAAATGTTCAACCAGAAAAAGTGCTAGAGTTACGCCGTTCCCCTTAATTAACGATGTCGGCAGCGGATAGCTGGTAACCTGCTTGTTGGGCAGCACGCGCACTGCAGCGATGCATGACATCGTCAGTTGTGACGCTAGTGAATTCTTGGAGCACGCAGTCAAACGGTCACGGTTCAAATGTTGCCGACGGAGCATCGGCTGACAGCGCTCACACAGCAGAAATTTAGTTTTCAAAAAACCGCATGGGATTCCTCCATGCTAACGTCACTCGCATCATCTATATGACTTCATTCCATAAGTTTTCCAGCGAACAGCACTCGAGGGTCGCTGTGCTGGTAACGGTTTGGTACGCAGGCATCGGGTGCACACATGGCACCGTCCACTGAAATAGTCGATGGTCCGATATTGCGATCTCGATGATGTTGACTGGTTGAATTTGATTATTAGAAGGTCAGCACGCGTGATGATAGCGTTCAGCAGTCCGCTAATGTCGTGCGTTGGAAAGGTCACTTGACCAACCATGCCAAAGATGGAAAGGTCGTTCAGCTGGCGAGCCGATGGGTCGTTGACGCGATCCAGTCGAACATTTATTTAAATCGCCGGTGATAAAGACATGCATGATCGGAGAAAGTTACATGTCTGGCGAAGAAATCGCTCAATTCGAAGAAGAAAACGCGCGTCACAGCAGGACGGTAGATGGTGACTGCAACGCCCGTCAACGAGGTGCAGGTGACCCTAGGACATAGCAGCTCAAAGGTCAGGTGGGTCGGGCGCCGATGTCAGGAATGGTGAGGTGCACGTCCCTGCTGGCGACGGTAGCTGCTCCACCGTAATTCATTGCCAAGGTGTCTGGTTGCACGCAGGGCCGCATGCTCCCGACTACCTGGAGTCCGTCAGACCCGCGAAGCCAGGTCTCGGTCAGGAAGACATCTTGTGAGCGCGAGCGACAGACTTGAAGAAACTTGTCAACCTTTTTATTTAGTGAACGGATGTTGAACAATAACCGGCGACACGGCTGCACATAATTGCGTTCAGTACGAACGCTAAGCAGGTTTAAGGGCCTACGGGTGGACACATGCCGATGCTTAGCACTCCAGCAGCAGCATTCGTAGACGTAGAGTTCAGCGCCAATAATGGCCGCCGTAGCCACGGCCTATTGCCAGTGATGACGAACACACCGCTGTCGCGCAGTGCTCGATTCGTGGCAGCAGGACGCCTATTTCGGCCAGCACGGCATCCAAGAAAAGACATGCAAGGCGTGGGGAACTGCTCGATAAGTAAAACTCCTCTCTCAGAGACGGGTGGATAAGGGCTGCAGCAGCTGACCGCAGGCCGAGCAGTCGCCGAGTAAGCTAGCCGCGCCATGAAAAGCAGCAAGATTCAGCTGGAGTCATAAAACAGTGACACACCTCCACAGTCAGCTCGAAGCCGAATATAGCGAACGCAAAAATGAATACTCATAATATAGTCCACCCAGTCAAAAAAACACACTTATGTTGACGTAGTTTCCTTCAAGCAAGCTGCGTGAGTAGCAAGAAAATAACGGGACGAAGACAGAGCCTGGCGACTCGCCCGATCGAGCCACCTTCAGATTCAAACCAAGATGGCCGATCAATCCAAGACGGCCGAATAAGATGACCGATCGGTCACCGGAACAGTAACGGGTGCCCACACTCTTATATAAGGCACAGTCAGCTCGTCTACAGGCAGCTCGAAGCTGAACATAGCGAACGCCAAAACGAAAACCACAATATAGACCTCGGTCGAAAACAAGCTTACATCGACGTAGCTTGCGTCAAACAAGCTACGTGATCAGCAAGAAAAAATCCAAACGGAGCCTGTGGTTCCGATGGATCAGATCAAAACGGAGCCTGGTGACGTACGCCCACCCCACTTTCAGATTCAAACCAAGATAGCTGATCAAGCCAAGATGGCTGATCGGCTTCAGAACAGTAACGGTGGTCACAGAAAGATTTAAAGGCACAACATTCAAGGTCAGACGATCCTCAAAGCGTATATCTCTTAGTCAAAAGAACAAACGCTAACGTAGGTTTTGTTCAGCTTATGCCGTTGAAAAGAGTTGCAATCCGAAGGGGAGAAAGATCGAGAATTTGAAATCAATTCTCACGATAAACGCATATGTAGGTGCTGATATGACTGACTAATATAAGTCCATATTGTCCGAGAGTAGGGTGTGGAAACAAGTCCTCATGTGTTGATGAGCAGACCTAGTTAGGTATTGAGTCCACGGTGTCACTGAGACCTTGCCATACAGCATATGTGTCACGAAGACATGTGACAGATCACGTGATCAAGACCTTAGTTGTGGGCGGAAGCGAATGCTATATAAGGTCTAGCAACCTTAAGCAAGGCCCCCCACAGTAGTTGATAAGCGCTCCGCGATGTAGCGTATCTGTATAGTTCTCCGACCTTCCGGTCGACGCCGTAGCTTATACCTCTGTATCGTACTCCTGTATAACCACCCCGTATAAAAGAGATGGTATCAGACAGATGTGTCTTACTTATCCTCTATGATCTTAGTCACGTAACACGATCCTCAGGTGGAGCATAATATATGAGCTCTGAAAATATAATGTAGCCGAACCTCGTATAGCACGAAGCTCGAGAGGCTGGCTTGGTCGAGGGGCATTGCGCTCTCGTTGTGCCTGACGATGTAGCATTTCTGCGGGTCGTCGAAGTGACGTCCCGTGACGCAGGAAAGCTCCTCGCCGAGCGGCGAGACGCCGTCAGGGGCCGCCGAGGCGCTGATGTGGCTGAACTGCGCCTCGAGGCTCTGCGGGTAGCGCACCACCGCCGGCGAGCAGGCGTAGCCGCAGTCTGCGGCCGACAGCCGCGCTACGCTGCCGTTCGTCACGAACGACGCGCATGACGCTCTGCGCAGAATTTTTTGTTATTGTTTATTGTAGATTGTTTATTGCTTACTGTATTTGTTTCATCGTTTAGTGTAGTTTATTTCTATTTCCTGGAACGTCGATTGATGAAATAGTGAAGCGTTTTGAGCTTTATGTTCTGCAAAGAGTCGTGACTTTGTTGTGGATAATCGACAGCTATGAAATGAATAAATAAATGCTAGCTACGTTGAAATCGTATCTTGAATATTTATATATCCTATATACGTTCAGATAGATAGATAGACATAGATTTACGTCTTTTCTCCACCTCATTAGGGTACACAGCAAGAGACGTTTGACTTTAGCTGATGATCCTTCCGACTCCTATAAGCTAGCATTCGCCAAATCCATTCTAACTGAACATTTTAATACCAACTTTGCTGTTGAAAAATCATATTGATTTTTTTAACCAACGACCAAACCTACAAAGCAGCAAAGATGGAACGTACACAACCCACCTGGTGGGAGACGTACAAAGCCCACTTGGTGGGGGACGTACACAACCCACCTGGTGGGGGGCGTACACAACCCACCTGGTGGGGGACGTACACAACCCACCTGGTGGGGGACGTACACAACCCACCTTCCGGTGGGGGACGTACGCAACCCACCTGATGGGGGACGTACACAACCCACCTTCCGGTGGGGGACGTACACAACCCACCTGATGGGGGACGTACACAACCCACCTGGTGGGGGACGTACACAACCCACCTGGTGGGGGACGCACACAACCCACCTTCCGGTGGGGAGGCTGAGGTGGAAGTCCCCCTCCTGGCAGGTGAGGGTGAGGGGGAGGGTGGGCACATCAGGGGTGGGGAGGCGGGCGGGTGGGATGGCCATGTATAGTAGCGGCAGCAGCCCGCTCACCATCACACTCACCACTAACACCACCTGGAACAATTGTCCAAATCTTGCCAAATATTTAATGAAAATATTTATTAGTTTTCATATAAAGTTTGTGAATAATTACTGAAATAAACGAAAAAGTGATCATTAAGTCCTCAAATTCCTATTACTGACTGGGTAATGGTAAGTAATAAGTTAATAATCACCTTGAAGTTGCCTATTTTGTCAGCTATGACCCCCGCGAGGGTTGGGGCGAGGAGGGGGACGATGGGGGCCACCGAGAAGACGATGGCGGTCTCCTTGAGCGTCAGGCCCAGTGCCCGCGCGAACAGCGTCGAGTATGGACCTAGGCATTGCGTCGCTGCCGTACGAATAATATATTCGTAAACAACGAATGGCCTCTGGTAAAATACAAATATAAGGAGCAAAAAGAATTTAATTAACCTCAGCGGGTTACAGTTTAATGTTGACAATTAAGTCTTTCAAATTATTTCTGGTCTTTCATGCGAGAAAGTTTACGGATTTAACTACTAACTAAAATAAAATATGCTCAAAATTATTGGATTCTTTGTATTCACATAACAGAAAAGAAAGATGTTGAGAAAACTCTAGTTTCTAAATCGTTTATGGCTTCTGAAAAAATCGCCACTTCCATAAGCTATTTTTGCTATCAAGCCGACCACCGGACCAACACTACAGCTAACAACTTCATTCCTTGACCTTGGTGTCGTTTCGGACGTAACAGTCCCAGGCCACGCTAGAAGGCCGCCTCAATATTCCGCTCTTACCGACAAAGTCCAACCTGGGTAGTTCGTGTCACACACGTATTATGCATAGAAGTACATTGTACGATATAAGTACAATAATATTACCTTACCGCCCATAATAAGGAAGAAGGCGACCTTGATGGGAACGAGACGGGGTGTGAGGAGGTCCGCCCAGCAGGTCACCGCCGCCTGACGGCCGCTTTGGCGCAGGCGCGTCGACCCTTGCCGCGCCTGCCACGTCAGCTGCCGTCGCATGCTCATCCTGCGGCTGTCATTTGTTTTAGTCCAGAGGAGGATATTCTTAATTTCCTTCCTAACCTTTCCGCATTAAAAATATACGGAAATTTTTCAATCTCCTCCCTAAACTAAATCATTATTATTATTGATAATAGAGAGGCTGGTAAAATACATGGCAATGACAACGAGCGTCCAGCCACACTGCAGAACGCAACTGTTTTCTACGCTCTGGGGTTAGCATGCCGGCTGCGGACACTGGAGTTGCTTGTGTTCGTAGCCAAACTGCTCTCCGTTCTACGCAGTTATGTTCGAGTAATAAAAATCTTGATGAAATATCTAATAACTTACTCATTCTTTCTTATGTGTAACTAATTTACAGGCAAATTTAGCCAGGGTAATTGCAATTTAAGAGCCCAGTAAAAGCTGCTTTTGCACGGGTCATGAGCTTACCTTACCTTATGACCTTATGATGAGTTTAGGACGTCGTAGTCCACGGTCACGCTGATGCGCCGCCTTCGTCGTCCTCCGTCTCCGAGTCGTCGTCGGATGTAACGTTGGACGTGTTCCGTCTATTTGCCCTCCTTTGGGCCAGCTGATGCAAGATGCTGTTGCTTGTCACTTGCTGATGGTAGTTTCCTATTACTGGACAATCCGGGATCTTTCTCAACCACTTGTCCAGTCGTCTCTTGAATGTTGAAAGGGTAAACTCCCCTCCTCTCAGCGCTTTTGGCAAGGCATTAAAGAGCCTCGGTCCTACCACGGACAGTGATCCCTCACGAAGAGTCTGTACTCTGGCCGCGGCTCGGTTATTAAATGGGGGAATCCTGCACAGTCTCCCCCTTCTTTCGTTGTAATATGTCATTATTTTGGAGGCCTCACTCTCAAAGTTGGGATCCAGTCCGTTTATCATCTTCCAAGTGTACAGTATGATATACCTTTCCCTTCTTCTCTCCAGTGAGTACAGTTCCAGGTGTTTCAGCCTTCCCCAGTAGTTCAGGTTCAGCTCCCTCATGCCGCTGATCCTGTACGTGAAGGTACGCNAGTGAGGTATCTTCAACCCGGACGTCAACCACCATTCTTTCATTATTAGTAAAGAAAAGATCGAGAATATTGTGTTCTCTTGTCGGCGACCGTACCTGCTGACTGAGCAAGTGTTCCGCAGCAAACTTCACAAGTTGGGCTTCTTGACTTGTGTCGCGGTCATCGACCTTTAAGCCGCCAGGGCTTGTCCAACGGATTCGTGGGAGATTGAAGTCCCCACCAATTATCAGGCTGGGGGCTGGGTCACCCAGTTCAGCCACCCTGGTCTCTATTTCCTTAAGGGTTTTTTTGAAATTTTCCGGCGGACAAGCAGGCGGTCTATGGACTATGGCTACGCACAGGTCATATTTTTTTATGTGAAGTAGCACGTATTCAACAAAGCCGTCAGAGTTTCCAGATTTCGATCTCAATTCTACAGTGCTTCTTGCAAGGGAGTTCCTAAGGTAGACAATTACTCCACCCTTCTTTCTCCCTTCTTTCCGGTCCGCGCGGTAATGTTGGAATCCTTCCATTGTAATTTCTGCATCGAGGATATCTTTTCTTAGGTGCGACTTGGACTAACACAGCGGTGCTGAGCTTCAAGCTGTGCTATGTTAGAATGTGACTCGTGCTTGTTCGTGCCTTGGATGTTTCCGCAAGTAATTCTATTCCTATTCAACCTGCAATAACTGCCAAATTTTGCCATGAAGAGAACAAATCTATCGCGAAGACATCTGACTGCAGCTTGCAGCTCACGACCAATGCCCATTCTAATTAACAAAATTTAGAGTCACCCCAGCTTCTGGTAATCCAAATCAGAAGCTGTCGCGTCTGTAAATTTTCACAGGGATATACATTGAATGAACACAGGATTGGAACGATTGCTTTGTGTGTTCTTTTTTCACATGACCGAGGAGGACTGGAGTGTCGAATCATTCTAAGAAAATTGCTTACATTCTGGCCACACAGTTTGGTTCATGCAGTTAAATGTTCCAATGAATAACCAATTAAAATCTCATTATAATCAACAGTACATGACTTACAGAAACACAAAAAAAAACACGAGAATTCATACCAGCTTGAAAACAATAAAAGTTGATTGAGGAACTGTAATCACATTCAAAACAGTAGAAAACGCATGGTATGGCTTACAGAATCGCAATAAAAATAACAGAACCCGACTTGCATATCGATATTTACATGGACAAATTAAAGTAGATCCCATCACAAAATTGTTGTTTTCTGCGCTGCGTTCAGATAAGAAAATAAATTTCAAGAGGAATACCCTTGTAAATATTGTGACATGAGTTCAGGAATAACGTGTTACGATATATACTGTTTACATATCACTCTACCACATACATAACACCACCACATTCATCACTCCACCACATTCATCACTCCACCACATTCATCACTCCACCACATACATCACTCCACCACACAGACCACTCCATCACACAGACCACTCCATCACACAGACCACTCCATCACACACACCACTCCATCACACACATCACTCCACCACAAACAACACTCCACCACACACACCACTCCACCACACACACCACTCCACCACACACAACCCTCCACCACACACACCACTCCACCACACACACCACTCCACCACACACACCACTCCACCACACACACCACTCCATATATATGCATCACCCTGCGCAGATCTCCATAATATTTGAATGCAGTCGCGTTGCTAAGCAACCGGTGACGTCTCTCCTTCTGTATGTTCTTATTTATTTTGTGGAAACTGCAAAAACTCGCGTAATTGCTTGCGTTGCCATGACAACCGAACGGATGACCAACGTACGATGATTGGCTTAATTTTAACATATGATCTTTGGCTTAATTTTAACATATGATCTTTGGCATAATTTTAACATATGATAGCTGCCTTAACTTTAACATTTGATGATTACCTTGATTTTGTCAAATGATTGTTTGCCTAATTTTATCATATACTGATTAGCTTTATAATTTAAATGTATGATGATTGCTTGAAATTTTTTATATTGTATGATGCATTATTTACTTGCTTGATTTATTTGAGTTTACACTCTAGTTGAGTGAGGCAGCGTGCAGCAGCAGCAGAGTGAGGCAGCGTGCAGCAGCAGAGTGAGGCAGCGTGCAGCAGCAGCAGAGAGTGAGGCAGCGTGCAGCGGCAGAGAGTGAGGCAGCGTGCAGCAGCAGAGAGTGAGGCAGCATGCAGCAGCAGAGTGAGGCAGCGTGCAGCAGCAGAGAGTGAGGCAGCGTGCAGCAGCCGAGTGAGGCTGAGGCAGGAAGTCTAGTCTCCTTAACTCAATTACGCGACTTAGCAGTGAAGGCGAAATGCAACAACCGTTGCTGCTGCAGGCAATATTTGCTGCACCTGCTGTTGTAGCTGCGGGGAGCGTAAGAAGCAGGTATTGTTATTCAGAAATAATTGAAATAATTAGAAAATATATGAATGAATTAATAAATCTTAATAAATGCATGGATTATTTGCAACAAAGTCTGCTTGTTGCAGTAACACTTGTCACTGTAGCTCTTAATCGGCGAACGTGTTGTTTGCTGCAGCAGTCGCTTGCTGCCGCAGCAACTATACTGACTACAGGATTTTCTGCACTAGCTGCTTGCTGCAGCCATGGGGATGCCTGTCAGGGTAGTTACTTGCAACAGCTGGTGTATGTTGTAATAATTTGCAACTATTAGTAAATATTGTAATTAATTAATCATTGCACCTCTCATTGCAATTAGTTAATCATTGCATTTAATTAATAATTTTATCTCACCTCGCTTGCAATTTCTCGTTGTTCTCAACTGGCAGACTGAAGGCCGTCGAGACTCTCCGTTCCAAGAGAGTAGATTGCTTGGGAGTGCAAGAAGTCCAGGATCTTCTTCCTCAAATTCTTAAATTTTCTAGAAAATATCTTTGGTATCATCCGAAATCATGATTCACGTCTGAATTCAATGTCTTGGCAGCTTACGGCCTGAGTTGAAATATTCATTAGCCACAACGCTTGTTCTTGCCAAACTGAACAGAGAACAAGGCAATTGATAAACTGTCAATTGAACTGTTATCTAACTATTATCTTAAACTATTAGTGAACTGTCAGTTGAATTATTATCATACTATTATAATAAACTATTATTTAACTATTATTATGTCAATTGTCAATTGACTTAATAGTTAAAATCTTTGCTCATCTATATTCTATGCTATAAAGTATAATGATTCGTTTCGAAGTTTTAAACATCGCTGACGGTAGCATTAACAGTTACGTTTATAGTTAACAAGAAACCAGTAAATGGATTTGCAGTAGGAATATGAACAACAATTGTTGTGTTTCAGTGTCTCCGCCAAAATATCTTTATCTCCCACTAACAGCTGAGTGATGTATAAATAAATATTACATCATACTGCATGGAGCTTAGCTTATAAAACTAAGAGTAAAAAGTTGGTGCAAACTGGCTAACCTCCCTGACATTATATAAGTAAACATTATATTAGCTTTTTATTATTTTGTATAATATACGTATTCATTTTAATTTTCTGATATCGCACCATACGTCAGCACGAGCAGTTCATCAGCAAATCTCCTAACTGGAAATTTTATGCAGTCAAACAAGGCGGAAATTTAGCACAATTTTCTGATCAAATAAAGCAAATTCGGCAAATAATCACAAAGCAAATTTGGATCAAATAACCCTGCCTTCGTTAGAGTGCACTGATAACTAGCAGCACAATCTCATTCAGCCTCAAGCAGCCAAGATGACACCGGCTGCAGGTGCTCAGTCACACGAGCCGAACGATATGTGAATAAGATAAGTCAAGTAGTAGAAATATGAGTGTAAATACGGGTTAATTGTGTATTGAAAGTAGATTCCGCTCTCACATAAAAAATACATTTATTCAACAAATATTTATTCAGTTGAAAGCCCAATGTTTACTATACTTTTCCATAATATTCAAATTAATTTTGAAGCATTTATCGTTTCATGGGGCCAGCTTGCGTATGCCATCGTCAAAGAAGCTTGCAGTGTGATTAGACAATTTCATAAAGAACACTTCATGAGACAGCGGGAAACTTGTTAGCTGAGGACGAAATCGTGAATCTTTTGTTCTCTTTCACTTTACAGTCCACTTCTTTAACAAGATCATCGGTAATGTGTAAAGGTGTCCCACTTCATTCCTCATCATGTATGTTTCACCTTTATCAATCATCTTTAAAATGTATCAATCATCTTTAAAAGCCTAAACCATTTCCTTCCGCACCATCTCATCACTCATAATGTTTTCACCATACACTTCACTAATTTGAAGATGAATATCAACTGATTGTATGCTTTGAGCTCAAAGAAAGAATTTCGCATCCGTCGGGCGACTTTTCAAATCACGTAATCTTATTTAGAAGCCGCGGACGCAGCGCTGCAGGCGTCGGCGTAATGTGAAAACGGTACATACTTTAAAAACACGCCTCGTACTATACTATATTACTATACTATAGTGTAGTAATACTATACTATGTATAGTATTGTGTATAGTGTACACAGTATAGGAATACTTTACTATACACTTGTATTACTGTAATATACACTTCGAAAAAAAGGCAGTAAAAAAACGGGCTCACCGGCGTTCTGGTGGCTGGTCGCCACGTGAAAATAAACTGTTTATCAGTTTTTTTTTCAGATGTTGTACGGGTTGCTAGCGTTAAATTTGAATAGAAACGGTTATGCGGCGTTTATTTTCACGTTTCAGCCGGCCACTATAACGCCGGTGAGACCGCGGTTTAACGGTGATTTTACTTATAATGTAATGCTTATGTATACCTTGTATCTAAGTAGCTAACACAAAGACTTGTTTATTTCACTGATAGGCTAGTAAGCAAAACAGATGCATTCAACACGTGAGAGCAGCTAATATGAAACACTTGTTTTGAACACGTGCCAGAAACATAATAGCATTCTAGTAATTCGTGTCGCTTCTTAATTAAGTGAAGCGAAACCCGCGCACAACAGCAAGGTTAATTCGGTGGCATCACTTGCTGGCGTTGCAGCTGTAAATAATTTATTTTCATGACAACGGAGCATGCATCATTTATATTGATGGCGATTGTAATTACTCAGATTATAATTACTCAAATCGGTAATTTCGTTTTACGTATTAGTGACAGTAATTTTATGCAACACTCAACCCTTTAACGCTAATACTTAACTCGGCTTCGTTTTGTTTGATTTCACGATTCGTTGTAGTGGGAATTTCGCTGCAAGCTCAAGCACGGTTGCCAACTTAGCGGCCTCTGGCGCCGAGGTTGCGCTCGCATGCCACAACAACAAAACAAATTACACGATCAGCTGATATAATTACACATGGGTTAATTAGCAGATAATTATACGTTCAGTTATTGAAAATTATGATCCCGTTATGTACGCTACGTCTTTTACGTTTAGTAGACGTTACGTCTAATATCTGTTGCACATCACAGTAGCTTTGTAGGAGACCTTGGAATTCAGTCAAACTTCGTTGGAGGCAGAACAAATAAGCAAATGGTCAGGGAATAGTTATTGGTTGGTTGTTAATATCACCATTAATGGCGCTGAGAATTTTTACTGATATGTAATATAGAAATTTTTCTCCAATTGTGTTTAACTAATTCAATTGACAAAGTAATTACCTAGGTAATTAGCTTGCCACCATAATTCGATACAAAAATTCTTCACACAAATTTAGAGAAATTACTCTCATTAAATTCAATCGACAGAACTAACTAAATACGAGCAGGCCTATTAGCTGTGCATGGCGTGTGACACTAAATACGAGCAGGCCTATTAGCTGTGTTTGGTGTGTGACACTAAATACGAGCAAACTTAAGGCGCGTGTTGAGGGCCGCGAGACCTCGCACAGGCTTATTGGTTTGTATGGATTTCTTCGCTGATTATCTTCAACTTCACTCCACTCGTAAATGAGATGACAATCTGATTTTTTTCATGCTTATCCAGATTACTCAAGTCGGTAATTTCGTTTTACGCATTAGCGAGACATTAGTTTTATGTAACGCTCATTTGCCTGCGCCAATTACTTCACTCGACTTCTCTACCTCTTTCTGTACCTAATGCAATCTGTGGACGGATATAAAAAATATAACTTAGTACTCACAGCAGTGGATGACAGAGAGCGCATTTTCTCGTCGACGAAAACGTGAAGTCACGGACAGAGGGATGGACAGACGGACAGACATGACGAGCACAATAGGGCATTTTTTCCATAAATGAGAAAATGCGCCAAAAATGTGTAAACTTTTATCAAAAACAGTTATGATTATGGAAAATTTCAAGACGCTTTAAACATTAATATTCAAGAATTGGACAACTTCTACACTTATGAGATGTCAATGGGTTATACTTTTTATTCGCCACTAATTGGTATACCCATAAGTTCTCGGTCAGCTTTCTTGTTGTCACCGAACGAGCATGCTCACATGTGGAGTGAAAATCCCGAAGACTAATGACTCCAATAGAGGCGTTGAGAATAGAATGAGGGGAAAAAGGTATCGTACAATTTTAAGCTGTGACGCTCGAGGGTTCTTGTGGTCGACCTAATGGGCAGTAATATGAGGTAGCCAGAGGTCATCAGTAGCATATCAGCTCTAGCAGACCGCTACACTGTTCAAAAAAACGGTGAAAAAACGGTCTTACTGGCGTTCTAGTAACCATCCGCCCCGTGAAAAAATACCGTTTCGCCATTTTTTCAGATGTTACACGGGTTTCTAATGTAAAATTGTAATAAAAACGGCAACACGGTATTTTTCACGTGCTGACCGGTTAATGAAACGCGAGTAATACCGTTTAACGGTGATTTTTCTAACAGAGGAGTCCTATCAGTGTTAACGGAGTCCTATCGGTGCTAACTCAGAGGTCGCCTGAGTCCTTACGAAGAACTATATACGCACGAGAGTAGCAACTTCCATATGTGAAGAGTGAACACTGAATTTACGCCTCATTCAGTCCCGAATACTAGCTCTCAGTGTTGTGGGAAAGCGTCGCAACACGTTACTTAGGTAGCTTGATAATTTACTTGAAGGTTCAATTTTGGATAGGGTACCAAGTGAGGATGAAATGCACCGCCATCATGTAATGAATATAATTTTAAATGAATACGAAACTCCTGAAAAATATTAATAAACAGGCCTAAGTATGTGCTGGGAACCTCCTAAACTGACTATGCTGAAAATAAGGTTCCCGGATATGAGAAGGAAATATCATGGGCAAAACAAGACAAGAAACGATGTGATTCGGCTGAACCCAACCGTAAATGTTTCCGACGCTTGGTCGAGATGCAGTCACATCCTGGTAAGGTGGCAAGATGTCAAAACCCAAATCCCAGCGGAGGAGTGCAGTGCTGGAGGTTGGACTCTTTTGATCCTACTCGTCGGGACTCTTTTGATCCTTCGGTCGCCGCCCAGTGTAGAGCCTCCGGCCACGCTACGAGAGTAAACAATTAACTTGAAGACGTTGACCAGGCGGAAGGAACAGCCGGTGGTAGGTCCATGATCGAGGCCGGTTCTCTAAGCTCTCCACACGGTTGACGTATCCGGCCATGGTCGACGTCAAAGGTGCTTGGATATTCCATGATCTTGGCAGAGTTAACAGTGACGAACTGCAGCGCCAGAGGTGAGCCTGGGTACTATACTTTGCAGACCACACCACGATTACCGCGTCCATACTCCATCCACATATATGATGAGGAAGGCTGCTCTATCCAGAGTGAAGAAATACAAGCTCACGCCAAACTTCACCTTCTAGAATGAGTTGGAATGGAAGATTAAGCCCGACCCACAGTTTACAGTAAGTTGGGCCGCTACACCAGACTTTGCTGCACTGTCAATACTTGAACTCTTTTGCGACGTGTATCGCTAAATACGAACTAACCTAATCCAATGACGGCATGCGGCTCGTGACTGATGGTTAGGTGCTGATTACAGTCAATCAGCGGTATGTAGCTGTCGAACAATCAAGGGCACGACAGGTTGCACGAAAAACAACGCTTCTTGTTTTCTTCATTTCGGTCTTCGAT